TATAAGGGGTTTCTACTTTCTTCTAGTGTAAGGGCTTAATAGAATAATTTCAATACTCGGTATTCAAGTACTGAATAATATGTTTTTAATAATATGTATAATATTTTTATAATGATATGTTAAATAAAACTATGTACTATTAATAAAATTAAAAATAAAAGAAAACAAATCAAACATAGAAAATATGTGTATAATAAATATAAAGTATTTTTTAATAAGAATTCCGTTTTGGGTTTGAGAGACCACTATCAACTTTCTTAATTTAAATTACTGAATTACTAAAAACTGAAGACTTTAAATGTAATATTGGAGCATACCTTTTATTTCCTTGAGAAAAACAACATTGTTAGGAGATTTTTGAAACAACGCCATCTAACGACCACTAACAAAGTTCATTACTATACAGTTGGCTACGACTTGAGAAAAAGTACTTATTTTCGATAGCAGGGTGAATCAAGTTAGTACATTCGAAATAGAGATAGCAACGTTTGAAAGTAAAAATATTTCACCTTCCAGTTAAAGGTTGATTCTCACTATACCTTCCGTTTCCATTCCATATCCGTTCCGTATTTTTCATTGTATTGACGCTATACGTAAGCTTCCGTTCCGTATCAGTTGTTATACTTTTTATTGTACAATTTATATCATTTCGAAAGTTTTATTTTAAAAATTTGTATCTTTTGAAAATTGTAATAGATTTAATTAAGAGGTGAAAGAATAAATAAATATCAGAAAAATTTTAATTTTTTTAATTTAGTTCGCTAACAAGTGAAAAAAAAGTCAGTGGCGAACATGCTTTTTTTAGAAAAATATTCCAGCGAAAACCCATATGCACGTTCCTGGTGAATATGTAGACACTTTTTTAGCTTTAAAATATGTCGCCTTTATAGTAACTTTCACTCTCAAAATTTCATTTTAAAGTAAAATGCTAAAAGGACTTGGAAGAAAATTATAATTAATCGAAAAAAATATTAAGATTTTAACACCCTGTAGCTACGAAACAAAGCAGAATCGGATAGTGATGTAAACTTTAGTTACTTTTATGGACTTGTAACTACTAGTTACTTTTGATAATAGGACTAGGTTACTTTAGTTACTCGTTACTTTGGTACTTTATACTTTGGTATCGTTACTTTATAATCGTTGTTTTGTGTACAGGTTGGAAGACTTGGGCTTGACGTGGAACTTTGTTACTTATTGTGCCCAGCGATCTTCGTTGCATGCTCGGGTTAACCTATAAGGGGTTTCTACTTTCTTCTAGTGTAAGGGCTTAATAGAATAATTTCAATACTCGGTATTCAAGTACTGAATAATATGTTTTTAATAATATGTATAATATTTTTATAATGATATGTTAAATAAAACTATGTACTATTAATAAAATTAAAAATAAAAGAAAACAAATCAAACATAGAAAATATGTGTATAATAAATATAAAGTATTTTTTTATACTCTCTCTCTCTCTCTCTCTCTCTCTCTCTCTCTCTCTCTCTCAGCCAGCAGTGTTTACTAAAAATTACTATTTTTATTTTGTAGATTTTCTTACAGTGTAAGTGGCGAAATATCTATTCTCTTTTGAAGAAAAATATTAGCTCTGCTTTTTCAGATGTTAACATTTTTTGTAACTAACGTGAATCCATTTTTAATTAATATCTAAGACATGTTAATCTAAATAAACAATTCTACTCTATAAATAAAAAGCGACAACAAACGGCAAAGGGACAGACCGCCTCCGGGTCGGCATGAGCCAATCATAATAATTGTAATAAAAATATCACACATTTGCCATCCAAAACACCAGCCGGCGTCAAGTCAACGCTTTAAACATAAACATATTGATAACAACTAGACCTACGTCGAAGTAAGGAATATTTCAGTATCGAGTTTCGAGTCCTCAGTTCGTGCATTTCCAGGGATTACGATTACTGCCGGCGCAAAAGTAACGAATTAGCTTAGTAACGAGTAACGAGTCCTAAATTCAAATAGTAAGCATTACTTCGAGTCCTCGTAAGTAACTGTTACTTTGTAAGGCTTACTTAGAATTTTTACATCACTAGAATCGGACCTATGTTGATATGAAAAATAAATCTTATTTTTACGTGAGGAATCTCCCCACGAGAGATGGCACATGTTTTTTGATACACCCTGTATAAATAAATTACAGCCTTCTTAAGGCCAACTGGCGGTAGACTCCAATAAAAAATAAAGAAGAGTACAAACCAAGAAATTACGTCTAGGCCAAAATTAACCTCGATAGGCATTCCCCAGCCGTCTTTGACGCCGCTTTTCTTTCGATCGATCGTAGTGTATTTTAACCTTTCCTTCCTATAAAACTTCTTTCCCTTAAACTATATTTTAATATGGGTAATATAAATTTTTTCTTTCGTGGTTGAAAACCTGTCTCTAATGAAACCTGTGCATATGCATATGTACTTTCTGAATTGTTTGTACTCTCTGTACAAGCTATATGTAATCATGTAATCATGTAATGTTCCAATAGCAGGCGGTAAAACCGATGAGGCTATTGTCTGTTTTCAAAGAGTTTAAGAGTTATTACTTTTCACTTTTCACTTTTACGCACTATAGTGAATCATTCTTGTTGCATTTTCTTCAAGTTCTTTATCTAGTCGGTTTTTGAACGCGTTTATACTGGGGGCAGTCACTGTATTTTCTGTTAAAGCATTCCATGAATATGCAACACGATTTGTTAGAAAATTTTTCCTCTGTACTTTGGCTGTCTTTTCTTTGCTTGTTTTCTTCGAGTGTCCACGTAATTGAGGGTTATGATTTTGGGAAAATATATTTTTAACATCACATGTATAATGTCCGCTTGTTATTTTAAATGTTTCTATCAAATCCCCTCTGTGTCTTCTTTCTCTTAATGTTGTTATATTAAATTTAGCCAGTCTTTCTGTGTAGGTCATATTTTGTAGCTCCAACGGGATTTTAGTCACGCGCCTCTGTATCTTTTCCAGTATCTCTATGTCCTTAATATAGTAGGGGTTCCACACTGTGTACGCGTACTCAAGCTTTGGTCTAATATAGCTTTTGTAGAGCTTTGCTATCATCTCTATAGAGTGGTCTTTAAAAGTACGCTGTATTAGATACACAAAGGAGTTACATTTCTTGGCAATTTTTACAATGTGGTTTTCCCATTTTAAATCTGATGTAATAGTCACTCCAAGGTCATTTTGTTCTGACACTGTAGACAATATTGTGTTGTTGAGTATATATTCTTTATTTGGGTTATTTGGTCCTATTTTAAGAACGGCACATTTGGATTCGTTCAGTTTCATTCCCCAAGTATTTGATACAATGTATTTGATATTGCCCAAGTATTTGATATACAAACTAAAACTCTATCGATACACTGACTATTGCGCATCGAGAGAAGCGTTGCATTGATAAATTTACATATAATCCTATATTTGACGGGTTGTAACTAAAAAGAAAACGTTCTAAATACCTTGAACACGTTGTTCCTGCAGCACGTGTTGCTGTTGCTGAGCTTGTTGCTGTCTTAAAGCTTGTAACTGCTTCCATTGCCTTTCCTGTTCCGCTTCTCGAGCTGACTTTTGCTGTTGCACTATTTTTTCTTGATCCTGTATCAAAATAAAGAGGGATGAAAGGGAACGAAATTAAATCCCATTAAAAGCTTGTTCGATCGTCTTGTAGTGACTCTATGTACCAGTTAACTACTAAGAATTTTCTGAAATTGTATCTGTTACAGTTAGTATTTTAATAAAAATCACCAAAGACATCGAACGTTGTGTTTCAATAATTGAAATTGAAATTCTCTAGACATCACAAACCTTTACAGAAAAACATCTAAAACTACAAAGATTAAAAATGTAGTGTAAATTTCATTCCATCGAAAACAAAAATCATTGAAGTTTAACATCTTGATTCCCTTTTCAATTTATTACATAATAGAAAATGCTGAAATAGATAATGAAGTTTCTTTATCACAAAATTAAAATTTTGCTATTTTTAATCAAGTGAACAAAGAGAATAATGCAAGTTATTTCGGTATTTACAGTAAAAAGTACATTCATAAAAGTGAAAATTTTGAAAAGCCTTAATGTCAATAATACGTAGAGGACCATTTATGTAAAATATTTTCAAGATCGCAGTTCTATATCTAAATTTAATTGATTGTAATTGTATTTCAGTAAAATACAGGGATTAGCTTGAACTTGTATTCCGGCAACTTTAGCAGCATATTCTGCAGGTAAAATTAGTAAAAGTTCGTAGCCACATGTATGTCCATAAAATGTTTAGTTTCGGTGAGTTAGTGAAAAAATATACATTTCCGTGATTTTCTACGTAAAAAAAATGTCTCTTGGTAAAAATTGCTGAGCAACCGTCCTCGAGATATTTTAGAATGGAAATATTGTCATATTGTCGTATTAGCAAAAATAAACGTGTTGAGTAGTTAGATAACTTAAAAGCAAAAAAAAACAGCTTTTGTCAGCTGATTTACTGTTCTGGTATTATTTTTTATAATAAATATGTAAATTCTCAAAATGTGTAGCACAGGCCATTGTGGTGTAGCTGTGCAGTCATGGAAGCAAATGTGTAGCAAAATACACAATTGTGTAGCTTGTGGCAACCCTGATATCGATTTTTGACTGGTGTTTGATTGTTACCTGTCCAGGGCTGGTCCAAAATTGTTCAAATTTGGCATGTGCATCTACCACACATAAACCTTTAAAAAATCAATTTACGACTTCGCTGTAAAATCAATAGGGGAGCCAATATTTGAACAGTTCATAATTTGCATGGGATTTTCTGTTTCCAACGACGATGCACAACCCTGTATGTACTTTCTAAATAGTTGAAATACTCTGTATAAAGGGGGTACACAATGTGCAAACTAAAGCACTATCGAAACTCGACAGCGTATCGAGAGAGAAGTGTTGTATCGATAAATTTACATATATTTATTATTATTATATTATTTGAGGAGTAGTAACTAAAAAGCAAATGTTCTAAATACCTTGAACACGCTGTTCTTGCAGCACGTGTTGCTGTTGCTGAGCTTGTTGCTGTCTTAAAGCTTGTAACTGCTTCCATTGCCTTTCCTGTTCCGCTTCTCGAGCTGACTTTTGCTGTTGCACTATTTTTTCTTGATCCTGTATCAAAATAAAGAGGGATGAAAGGGAACGAAATTAAATCCCATTAAAAAGCTTGTTCGATCGTCTTGTAGTGACTCTATGTACCAGTTAACTACTAAGAATTTTCTGAAATTGTATCTGTTACAGTTAGTATTTTAATAAAAATCACCAAAGACATCGAACGTTGTGTTTCAATAATTGAAATTGAAATTCTCTAGACATCACAAACCTTTACAGAAAAACATCTAAAACTACAAAGATTAAAAAATGTAGTGTAAATTTCATTCCATCGAAAACAAAAATCATTGAAGTTTAACATCTTGATTCCCTTTTCAATTTATTACATAATAGAAAATGCTGAAATAGATAATGAAGTTTCTTTATCACAAAATTAAAATTTTACTATTTTTAATCAAGTGAACAAAGAGAATAATGCAAGTTATTTCGGTATTTACAGTAAAAAGTACATTCATAAAAAGTGAAAATTTTGAAAAGCCTTAATGTCAATAATACGTAGAGGACCATTTATGTAAAATATTTTCAAGATCGCAGTTCTATATCTAAATTTAATTATTTAATTGTATTTCAGTAAAATACAGGGTAGCCCGAACTGTATTCCGGAAACTTTAGCAGCATATTCTGCAGGTAAAAATTAGTAAAAAAGTTCGTATACATGTATGTCATAAAATGTTTAGTTTCGGTGAGTTAGTGAAAAAATATACATTTCCGTGATTTTCTACGTAAAAAAAATGTCTCTTGGTAAAAATTGCTACGAGCAACCGTCCTCGAGATATTTAGAATGGAAATATTGTCATATTGTCATTATTGACAAAAATAAACATGTTGAGTAGATAGTTATTTGACTGAAATGATAAATTTGGAAACTTTATTTTTGTATAAATTAATCATAAATTAATCAAAAAATTTAAGAATCATTATTTGTAGCGATTTTTACCAAGAGACCCTTTTTACGTAAAAAAAAACGTGGTAAATGTATATTTTTTACTCAGTAGTTTTATACAGGTACGGAAGAAAAGTTGTTACTCATCAAACCGGTTAAAAAATATGTAAGTAGCGCCTCCTAGAAGTAGGAGTCAAATTGACATTAAAATCAAATTTCTCATGTCAAAAAACTCCCAGACACCAATTTTCATCCAAATATTGACGTTACACTTCAGAAATTATTTGGAAAAAATCGAAATAAAAATGAAACTTCTACAACCTATATCTCCGAAACGAAGCATTTTAGGACTTACATTTATACGAACTTTTTTATTTATTTTTATCTGCAGAATATGCTGCAGAAGTTTTCACAATACAATTCGGACCACCCTGTAGAACAATAAACATGTATTAAAAAACACTCTAGTTGGCAATAATATATTCTAAGTTGAAAATATTCCATCCCATTGACGTTAATACTATTGCAATTAAAAGGGTTCCCGGATAAGTACTCTATTATACAAAATATTTTTTTAAAAAAATATCACGATAGAAAAAAATGACAAAACTGAACACTCCATAAAATTTACTCTACATTTAACGCTCGAACAATAATAAACCTAGAGAATATCAAAGACACTGCACAAAAACACATCGTTGTTAATACAAAGACTAAATTTTAAAACAAACAGCCTGTAAACATGCAAATAAAATAACAAAGAAGGCTGAAACTAAACAAATAGAGCAGATCAATTTTCACCAACACCGTTGCACAGCTACGTCTTAGTACCCCGACTAACACGGTTCTTTTTTGTTTTAGGGTTTAGATAAGCGACGATACCAAAATCCAATACAAATATTAGTAAAAAAAAAGATAGCTCTGATACCTGTCGACTCTATGGAATATTGAAGGAAGTTGGGTTGGTCTCGGGTGGTGTATATAAAAATTCATGCTTTACGAAAAAAAAAGTTTTTCTTCAACGTACTCTCTAAATTATCATCTTCGAAATAAAGTATAAAAAAGTAAATTCTAAAACAATGTATGGTGCTGATAAAATAAAACGCATCAAAAATCACACAAAATCAGAAGCTTTACCAAATAAAAAAAAATGTAAATACAGTATTGTGGTAGCGCTTTGAATTGCAGTATCTAATGCCACATGCAAGTATTTTCTTTGCAGCATATTTGATAAACCGATAAACTATTAAACAAAAATATTGATGCAATTTAAACTTAGTTAAACCACAATCTATACAAAAAAATACAATTTTATCGATAAAGTGTTCAACTTATAATTAATAATTCACGTATAAACCGATTAGTAAAAATGAACGAGCCAAAATGATTGAAATAGTTAAAAATATTTAGTAATTTTTTGGATTGTCGACAAAAGATAAGCATATAAAGAACTTTAATAATATAACAATAAAAAATTTTTGGCAAAAATGTTTAAATTTGTAGTATAATTTAAGATACGAGCAGGCTCTTCATTTGACTTTATAGAGCAAATGATTGCAACAGATATTTTATTTAGATTAAAGTTGCAAAAATTAGATTAAACCGAATTTTATTATCGCTATATTGGTTCACATTGCGCCGTTTTCAGCAAGGTTGTCGTGTATTATTTAGAATTATCCTAATGTCAGTCATTATTTTGTATAATATTGTGTTGTTGAATCTTTGTGAGTAATTCTCGTTATTTTTGTCTATTTTCATAGTCTTTTTTAAAAAAAATGTACTTTTAAGCACAAACAGTTCTTTTAAGAAGTAAGTTTTCGAGTTTTTGTATTGCACGAAGCATTTAAACAGTCGAAGCAAAGAGCTTGTAGCTTTCCTGATAAACTATTTAGAACGAGAACGTGACAATAAAGGTTCTGTTTTACCCTTGACTGCAGTCAGAGAAGTAAGTTTGATTGATAAACACATTACACCGCTTTCAAAGTTATTTCTACGTTAGTTTTAATTAAATTTTGTGGTTATTAGTTTGTGCATTAATAGCACCATCTTACTTGTTATTACCACTTATGGCGTTGTAAGATGTACATCAATAAATAAATAAATAACCCATAATAACGCTTAGAATAATCTTCATAATGGACTAGTTTTTGCTAATATGTAATAAGTAAAATAAGCTATAAAACAATAAATCAATTAATTACTAAAATAGTAGTTATTAAATTAAAAATAAAACGTAAAAATCTTATAATTATAATTATTATAAATAAAAAATGATATAATAAATATTATATTGTTTGTCACTTTTAAATTAAGAATCATCTCATAAATCCATCACAATCTGGCACGCTGTCGCCATCGCTTGTCACTCAAAGTTGATCACGTGCATCGGAAATTGTTTTGCGACTACTATATTTTATATTCGAATTATCGAAAAACACAAAAATAAAGTAGATTTTATGAACATCCTATTAGAGGCTCAATTAGACTCAATTTAAAGCTTCCCTCTAAACTGTCCCTCAAATTACCACATACAACAATTTCAATCATTTTGATTCAAGTCGAACAAAATTTTTTATTTAAAATGCAGACTCGTTTTAATGATTTACTGAGTAAAAGATTTGTAGTACTTAAAAATAATAATAAAAACAACATTTTATACTATTTTTTGTAAATATTGATTAATGAGAAAAAGACAATTTTTGTAGTTTTAAATTTGATTCGATGAGTACAGAATATTATCTATATACTACAGCACAGATATAAAAAACAGAAGGGTGGTAAAACCTGTTTCCTGTAAATTTTAATCATCTTTTTCTCTTTCTGTACGAATTATGGCAATATAAATAATAATAATAATACATCTTTATTGCAAATCATATAAAATTGAGTATTACAATAAATAATAATAATATACTAAAGCCTAAATAGATCCACCCACCAAAGGATTAAATAGCAGCTGCATTGTTTTTGATATTTAGGCCTAGGTATTATAAAAATAAATAAGTTACTATATCCAAATAAATTATTTTTACACGTTACATTATAAAGTACATAACACGTTATAGTCGAATTAGTAAACTAGAAAATCATAATAAGTAAATAACAAAATTAATTTAGTGGACATCCATTAGATGCTGTTTATAAGAGAATCAGAAACTCATTGGCTTAAGGCTTTTACACCTCAAGTGGTAAAGTGTTATAAATTCTATACATCTGTACCCCAGAAGCAAACTATATTAAGTCACAAAACATAGTTTTAAGAAAAAAGAATTTAAAGTTCTTTTTCGAAGTTATTTACTAATTACTCGGTTATTTTTAAATGATTGTAAAATTTGGTATATGAACAACTTATTTTGAACTTAAAATATAAAACAGTTTTTAAATAAATTAGCAATACAATAATTACAAATTCCAAAATTTTTTTTGAGTGACGTAAAAAAACATAATTTGCATATTAGAAAAAGAAACATTTACAGGACTTAACTTATATTAAGTCCCTATTTATGCCAAAACGAATAAAGCTAAACCATCTTAAGTCCAAATAATAGTTTAATAGTGATATATTAAGAAAATATTTAACAGAAAATTGTAAAACAGGTATGTATGTCGCAATTTGGAACCAATTTACTATCTTTATTTAATTTGATTTTCAACCGACTATTTTATTTATTGGTGCGGATAGCGTAAAACAAGAAAGACCAAAGGGTAGAACATAAAAAGCTAAGTAACTTGAACCACAGGTTGTCCCAGGCTGAGCGTGCATTAGAAGTTTCTAGAGAACTACAATATCTAGATCGGAGATTTTTTGCACATCATTGTTTCACAACGAGATCTATCGATTAAAAATATTTTCAATATGACGGCACTTCCGAAAATACCGGAAGTTGACAGCAACTTTCTAATTATAAATGGGTGCCCTCATTTTTTATTACATACTTAAATTCTCTGTAAAATTTTATGAATTTTGATATTAAAGACTCTATACCGATCATTAACCGTTTCTGAGAAAAAAAATATTTAAAATTTTTGAACGAAAAAACTGCCTGTCAAAAATATGTGTATAGTCTAAACGTTAAATTTAGTGATTACCACAGCCACTGTGCCATAAAGACAAGACATGTGGCTATCTATTTCAAAAATTAAATTATTCTAATGTCATATAGTATTGGCTGCAGCTGTCATAGAATTGAGCGATTAAAAAATTATCATAAATAATTTTTTTTAACGGAAACCCACTTTTCTATTTCACTAGGCTTTTCAATTCGTTACTTTTTGATTATACATGTTCTTATACCTAAAACAAATCGTTCAAAAACAAGTCGATCAGCAAACAATGGTTCAACTTTGTTTAAAAAGCAGTATGTTATCGATCATCATTTCCAACTTCGCCAACTTCGCGCTGTTTTTTTTTCAGTGTTGATACGGTATATTATTATTAATTAATAATATCTAACTATTAGATATCACTAAATAGCGAAAATACGATATTTATATATTTTTATAAATACACTTTTTAAACAAATTCAAATAATTCGTTTTCTGACAGATGGAAATAAATTGTCTCACTGTTTGACACTTAATGTCAAAGGAAGCTTATTTTTGGTATAGGAACATTTATAGTTAAAAAGTAACGAATTGAAAAACCTTTTAGCTAGTGTGATAAAAAGTGAGTTTCCATTTGAAAAAAATGATTTATGATAACTTTTTAGTCACTCAATTACGTGACAGCTACCGCCATTATGATATGACATTTGAACAATTTAATTTTTGAAATAGATAACTACGTCTTATCTTTATGCCACAGTAGCTGTGGTAATCACTAAATTTGACTTTTAAGGTACATTCAGGTTGATAGCGTCGAGCGTCGCATCCGCCCCATCGAACCCCGACGCTCAGCAGACGCTAGCGCAACGCCAAACGAGACGCTGTCTGCCTGAACGGTCTAATTTAAGTGAATTGGTTCCATTTCGACACGCAGACGCGACGCGACTCTCGACGCTCTCAGCCTGAATGTACCTTTAGCCTATACAAATTTTTTGGCAGGTAGTTTTTTCGGCCCAAATTTTTAAATATTTTTTTCTCAAAAACGGTTATTGTTAGGTATAGAGTGTTTAACATCAATATTCATAGAATTTTACAGATAATCAAAGTATGTAATAAAAAGTAGAAACGCCCATTTAAAATAAGAAAGTTGCTGTGAACTTTCGGTATTTCTGGAAGTACCGCCATATTGAAAATATTTTTAATCGATAGATCTCATTGTGATTTTCATGATGTTCAAAAAATCTCCGATCTAGATATTGTGGTTCTCTAGAAACTTCTAATGCACGCTCAGCCTGGGACACCCCGTATATCTAAAATATGCCAATTTTGGACTTAACATAGTTTGCTTCTAGTGTACAGATATGTGAAAGATCGCGAGAACATCGATGTTTGATTGAAAAAAAAAATAAGTACGTACACACCTTTATAAAAGGCCTATCGTGCTAAAAAATTATCATTTGTAAAACATTTCATCATCATTTGTAAAAAAGAATATAAAAAGATAAGTAAAATTTGTAGCTTTGTTACGTTTACCTTCTGTTTTTATTTTATCGTTACTGTAGATACTTTATAAAAATAGAAAATGACGATAAAAAAGAACTAATAATCAATTTCTACACAATTTTATCGATAAAACAGAAAAATAATCAGCTGATATAATAATCGGGATACGCCGCGCAACAAAATCATAAGAAACGTAAAAAAATCGCTCTCAATCCACACCAAAACGGGGTTCTCACCGGCTGTTGCGGCGGCTCATAGTTTTCCTGACAGAGCGAGGGAAGTGTGCGCATGATCTCGGAAGGCGTCAGCACCCGGATCTGTTGATCCGATGCCGGACTGTGCGTCAGAGACAAACATCGGGATAGGGCGGCGTGGTCGGGACACGGGTTCACCGGCTGGTAGTGGGGATTGACGGTGACGTTGGGAGCGGGGCCTACGCGGTCACCGGGACCGGCCACGTGGCCGTGCACGGTGAACTGCTGGTGCGTGGGCGGGGAGGGGGGCGAGGTACGGGTTGCGGGTGCGGGGGGAATAGATACAGAGCTAGTGGTGGTGGTTGTGGTAGTGGTTAGTGGAGGCGCAGGCATTTTCTGCTGCGCGGTGGTGCACACCTCGGACGTGGGGGCCGGCGCCTGCGTACTGGACGGCGATCCGGACGGTGGCAGGCTGGCGGTGGCTAGGGCCGGAACGACGGGAGGAGCGGAGGGCTTCGGGCCCGGTACGGGGCTCGAGGCGGAGGAGTCCTTGGCGGTCTGTGACTAAAGGGGCAATGTGACAGCACATGAATATTTACAGAAAGGTTAACAACACAAAAGTAAACGGGTGGACGATACACTTTTCTTACCTACCATCATAAATTATAAAAACAGCAGGTTTAGTAGTGACTGAAGTTAAGAAAAAACTCAAAACACGGGCTAATAAAACTACTTTTTCAATTTGTCAAGCTTTCGAGAATTTTATTCCCATCATCAGGACAGTTTAAATGAGTGAATTAACAAAACAACATCCTTTGCACAATATGGCCTTAAAAATTAACATTGGAAACACAAGGATATTTCCTTTATAAAATATTAAAATACACATACATCTAACGACATTATTTTTAGTATTTTTTTTAAAGAAGAATTGCTACACTATTGTTTCGGGCTCGATAAAACAGCCTGTTTGATCGTCTGACTGTTTGATGAAGCTCGAAACAACAATGTGGCAATTATTTTTAGTAATTTCTTTTTAAAGAAGAACGTTAGATGTACATGTATGCATTTTAATATTTTATAAAGGAAGTTTTCAATGTCCTACGATGTTAGTTTTTAAGGCCTTATTGTGCAGAGGATGTTGTTTTGTCAGTTGACTCATTGAAACTGTCCTGATAATGGGAATAAAATTCTCGAAAGCTTGACAAATTGAAAAAGTAGTTTTATTAGCCTGTGTGGTGATTATTGACTGCATCGTCACTTAAATTTTGAGTTTTTTTTTATCAAAAATTATAAAATTATATATATTGACAAACAAAAATATACCAAATTAACTTAAACACAACTGAAAAATTGAGCTTTACAATGAGCATAACGGATTAAATTGTTTCATAGTTTGTAAAGAATACATTATTTTATGTAATAGTAAACATTAATAATTACAGTTGTTTTTATATGTTGGATCTGGGACAAAATATCTCAAAACTAAAAAACGCAGGTGTATTATTTAGTGATTAGTGGACGTTTCTTTAGAAAGTGTCTTATTCAGGACTATACACTTATTTAAAACCCTTAAATGTAGTCCATGGGATGAAAATATATTTGTCAAAACGTAATGAACCTGACTTTATTTTGACTCAGATCCAACAAATAAAAACAACTTTAATTATTTTGTGGTCACTAAAACAACGAAATATTAATAATTAAATCGACAGAAATAAGTTCGATTCATGTGGGCATAAGTATATTAGTTAGCCGGCGCCGGCGCTTTAAAAGTTTAGGTATTCCAGTCGATTTAGCCTTAAAATAATACTTTGTTCTCTCATCTTATCAATCAATCATACTAACGGTTGATATGATATATGGTATTATTTTGAAATTTATAAGCAAAAAATTGTACCATTTTTCTTGTGTTAACACTCAAGAATGCTGCCCAAACTCTAAAAATACTTCCATCTTCTGTTACAGATTTTAAAGCTATTGTGGTGTCAGATTAGTTGTATTATTATCCAGTACTTTACTTACTTCTTTAAAAATACTATTAAAGAGAACTATGTAAAGAGTAAAAGAGCATATTTTATGGCAAATAGTTATTGTTAATCCGGCACAGACTTTAACCTACCTAATAAGGCTAAACTGCACAATTCATCTACCACATCAGTATTGTTTGCAATCTTAAGCACGTTGGTAATATTGTATGAATATCTCAGTATCCAGATTGAAAAGAACGAGCAAAAAAGACGAATACCACCTACTAAGTACGATGTAGTACGATAAGTACAGCTGGTTTCAAAAAAAATGAATACGACTCTTTACACATTCTTTTCGAATATTTGGGTGGTGTATATTTATGTGTCAAGTATTTTGACATGTTAAGATTATTGTGACATTGTATAAAAACTTTGCTTTTGACACAGTGGCAAATAATTTTTTCAGAACGTCAGCATGACATGAGTAGAGAAATGGAGGACTGGTATCATAGAATATACTGCCCGAAATAATAAAAATATGTTTTAAATTGTATTCAATTTTATTGGAACCAGCTATACATAATCTTAAAAAACATATTACAATTAAATTAAAGAAAAACAGCTTAAAACATATACTCTAAAGTAACAGATTTAATAAAAATTGATGTTTCACGGGTATTTCAGTCATATTTAAACAGACTAAATCTTAATTTCTTTATATTTTTATTTGTCAGTATAATTTCTTATTTATCTTTATATTTATTTGTTTGTCACATAATCATTTAACTAGATATAATTGTAACATATATATCTTGTTAACCTCTCTTTAATATATTAAAACAATTGAAAAAATGGAAAACTTAAGCCTGTCATGCCTCAGTAATTATTAGGACGTAACACAAAAATGTGTAGTGCTCCTATAAATATTACAAAATATACAGCAAAAGGCTATTTAAAGAAATCGCCAATAAGATAAATACAATATAAGAACAATACTATCTTAGTTTTCAAAAAATTGCGATTTCTAACTAGTTCTGCGCACTTAACTTTGAGAGATTAATTTTAAATAAATGTTTTTGTAACAAATTAACTTATTCATAATATTTATGGAGTTATACAGCGTTAGTGACAACCCCAGACCTGAAACAAGCTCAATCAGAGCATGCTCTTTTCGACAGAACGATCGATAAAAAATATAAAATAAAAATTATTTGCATTAGTGACCATTTAGACAAAAATATAACAATTTATTTCTATTAAACTAAATTCGCGTTATAAAATGTTATAAAATAAACATATTTCCCCAAAACTATAACTAAAACGTAGGATAATAATAAAACGTTTACCTGTTGCTGTTTTTTCATTCTCAACTGGCTTCGATTGTCTCTGGCTTGCTGAAGATAAGGCGCCTTTTGTTCTTGACTTAGAGTACGCCATTTTTTAATTAATTGTTTATATCTGTTAAAATAAAAGTTAAAAAGCTTTTTGAGAATAAATAGTGTAAATGTCATAATCCATGAAAATATTAGTAGGATTTACTGAATAAAAAGACCAAGGAATGATAATATTAAAAAAATTGGCGAGCCTACGAAATGCTTCTAATATGGTCAATTTTAATTCCGACCTATCATTGGCATTGAAGTTTGTGACAATTTTATTCAGTTGATTTTTCAACTGCTGTAAAATTCAGTCACCAACGTAAAGCTAATATTAAGCTATAAATTTTACATATTTATAAAATAAAATATAAAACAGCTTATTTAAAAAAATAACTTTTTAAAAATAAGTTTTATTTTTTCAGATATTTTTAGAACCTTTATTTCGATTTGATTGAAATTTTAGGTGTCAAGTACTTTAACATTTGGCTTTCACAAAAATCCAGAAAAAGTACAGGAATAACGGTTCTTATAGTATCTGATAAAATGTGTTTATTTTTTTTAAGTCTGATACCCTCTAGCGGACAAACGAAGCACTTTTGTATAGAGGTAAATTGTGTTCAAATGAACTTATTTTGATATGAAAAATACGTAATAGTTCTATGTCCACCAAAGTGGTGGGGGAAGGTTAAACTTGCTTTTATTAAAATAAGAATAACTCTGGTTTGGGTTATGCGATTTAAACATACTAGGGCTCGTTTAAAAGAGCGTTTCTTCCTTAATGATCACCAGTATAAATTTTGTTTCTACAATTTTTTTCGTGGTAGCTAGAGGGCGCTGTTTGACATCATTACATATATTGCGCTTTTGCGTAAAAAAATTAAATAGGAGGCTATATTTCTCTTTGCACAGTTAAATAGAGCACAAAATTTCTAAAATATCAGCGCAAACCGCAACTTTCTATCTTCTCTCTAAGCGGAGATATTAAGAGAACAAATCATATTAGGCTGCCGCTAGGATTATATGGTCTAAAAATTATAGTAGTAGGCTAGGAAACAAAAAGAGATAAATTGGTTAAGTCAAAATATCAAAACATATATTATAATTTCATTTTAATACTATTTAATTATTATTTATCCATGTTCGTTCTTGATTTGGCCCCATAAATTAAAACCTAGGCATATTGAATCCGATGACCTAGCTGGCCATGGAAATATGCCGCTCCAGCGTCTCTATCTACTAAAGTAAGTGGTATCCACGAAGCCCCACACATTCACAGCAAAAGAAGCGGCACCACTGCCTCAACTACGCCAATTGCATTCATGATGATGAAATTGCAACAAATACAATTTCATCATGATCCCCTAACAAAATTGGCAATTCATTTCTTAGAAATTATGGATAGTTCATTTCATTCTGATAATTAAAAAAGTCTAATCATTCGCCATCCTAGAATTCAAGCATAAACATTTACCGACCAACGGTCTTGGTGCTAAACTACGTGCATCGAGGGTAGTTTTGGACCAGTAGTGCATATTGTTAAGATTCGCACCTTCGTTCGGTGCTATATAAAAAGTGACCTAAAGGACATAAACTTTATAATATCATAATAAATAACACAAACAACAGGTAAAACACGAAAACTAGTGAAATTAAGGACGAACTTGGATTAATAACTAAATGACGTTACATGAAATAAACCCCTAGTTTTCGACCATACGAAATTCGGCCGTTTTCTGTTAAAAGCAATTATTGATTGTCCAACTTTCGGACATTTTAATCTGAGAACTACTTACGTATAATTAACCAAGAAATTCGTAAAAATTATATGGATGGATGATAATGTTACATAAACACGTTTAAATAATTATAACGTCATTTTTTTAAGAAAACGCCCGAAATTCGGATGCATGAAGACTGAACTTAAACGTTTTGATATTTTGATGTAACCAATTTGCCTCTTTTTGTTTCCAAGGCTACTACTATAATTTTTAAACCATATAATCCTAAGCGGCAGCCTAATATGATTTGTTCTCTTAATATCTCCGCTTAGAGAGAAGATAGAAAATTGCGGTTTGCGTTGATATTTTGGAAATTTTGTGCTCTATTTAACTGTGTAAAGAGAAATATAGCCTCCTATTTAATTTTTTTACGCAAAAGCGCAATATATGTTATGATGTCAAACAGCGCCCTCAAGCTACCACGAAAAAAATTGTGGAAACAAAATTTATAATGGAGATCTTTAAGGAAGAAAAGCTCTTTTAAACGAGCCCTAGTATGTTTAAATCGCGTAACCTAAATCAGAGTTATCCCTATTTTAATAAAAGCAAGTTTAACCTTCCCCCACCACTTTATTTTATGAGATAGAGCAAAATACTCTATATCAAAAAAATTACAAATTTCTCGATGATTACAACAGTAATATTGAAAATACCTGTTCACCTGCACATTTTTGAGAAAAACCGTTTTCTGGTTGGCTATTAGAAAAACGCCCCCTAGCTGGCATTTTTCGAACTTGAAAATAATTTCCAGCGATTTCTCTCGGTCGATTTATTTGTTAGAATTTTTTTCCCAAAGTTATACGATATATATACGATAAATAGTTTCTGAGATACAGCCGGCGTCCATTCTTAGTTGGCCACCCGGTACATTCGAGGTTGCATATCGGGACGTTGAACAATTGGCAAATTTTTCTTGCGACAAAGAAACAACTAACACCCACTAGTACCTAAGGATGCAACCCATCCCGCGTTAGATATTAACATTGCTACAGTTTGAATCTAGTAGTATTCTTCCGTGCAAATTACCTGTAAAGCGATATAATTTCTATAAAGCCAATTATTATTGAATTATGTATTTTTATATGAGATATACGATTATTCTCTTGAGAGGTGCAGAATACAAAATAACTTAAGTTTTATATTTAAACTGTGCAACAACTTGATAGAATGTACTTAATTGTTAAACAAAGTAAACTTTGCGGTCCCGATTGCTAATCCTCGACAGTGTAAACGTTATCGGCCATTGGCGACATCAAATTTGCAGCAGAAAGCGCCCATATACCGTTCTTGCTTCCTATGGAACAACTTAGCAAATTATAACAATATTAGTATTAGTATAGACCTAGTTAATATTGTCTTGTAATTGGATTTTTTAATCTGTTAGACAATAAAGCATATTATTATTATATTGGGACACCCTGTATACATACATAACATACCTAGTCTTGTTTTTTATCTGAAAAAATCAAAAAGTATAATAAGGGTGAGTCACTTTTCAAAAAACACCCGGTATACATTACAAAACATATACCTTAACCTACAGTCATTTTTGGATCCCGTCTGACAATTCTGCATTTTTATTTTTGATTTTATTGGAATCAGCACAAAGCATCAAGACTGAATCACTCGGTACTCATTCCTTAGTGTTTTTATTACATTCTTAGTCACATATTTTATTCAAACAAATGCGTACCTGTCAGACCACGCAGGATATTCAGTCTTCCATTCGGGATGATTCATGTTGGCGTAGAGTACCGCTGATATGGTGGCTCCACTACCTAAAGCTTCGTCGGCTTTCATTTTCTCCGACGACCGTTGATTATACGTGGACGCTACTCCAACACTGGTACTGTCAATTTCAACACCCTCGCTCATGCTCACCCAAGGACTAGGCGGTTCGGAAAAGGCTGGACTAAATTGTGGACTACTGCAAACGTAAAAAATGTCAGTCAATATGAGCTTTGCGTATTTCAACCAATTTTTAAAATTCTGAGAGAAGCGCTCGGTACAGCAAACGTCGCGTCGTCCAGGTTACGGTTCATACCGAAGAATTTTGGTTTTTTACTAGTACATTTATTGAAATTATAAAATTCTCAGGTACGATGTTTCTGTACTCAAGTTCGTGTTTCTATTTCAATTAATACAAATTAAGTGAAAAAAAATTTGAACTGGGCAAAAATTGCGACAATGTCGAATGAGTTCGACAAAACAACTGAGTAAACAGTATACAGGGTGGCGCCTCTCACACGCCGCCAAGGCTCAAATGAGAACGACAGTTTGTATCTAAATAAAATTTTGTGAGCATATGTAGGTTAATTTAGAGCATTTTTTTAAATATAGAGAGTTCTGAAGGGTGTCCACAAAAAAAGTTACACATCAAAGTTGTGTTTTTTGTAATGGAACACCCTATATATTAATTGATTTTCGGTTTTAGGAGAAAAATAAAGGTGAGTTTAATTTGATAAATGTATATGTCTAAAATGTAAGGTTTTTGACATATTTGTTATTTTCTAAAAATAAAGAACAAATTTTAAATTTCAATAAAAGCTACCTAAATTGGAATTTACCCGGGACAGCCTAGTATGTAGTTAAAATAACTATTGTATTTTAAATTAAGTTAAAACTTGACCCAAAAAGTTATACAGGGTAAGAAAAAGTTAATATTGAACATTGGTTACATTTAAAAGCAAGTTACTCTTTTATTTTAAATGGAACACCCAGTATTATGGGTGTATTATATTATTCCGATATTCAATCTGAAATTCGTGTCTCTTCAAAATACTATTAAGGTTGCCTACCTCTTAGACAAAGATTTTCCTAGATATTTTAATTTTTGTGATTTTGCGTCAGTAGATCTTTATTATTTGAAAAAATCTAGGGTGGCTGTGTGATATACCTTTCGTTAAAAAAAATCGTTAAATTATTATTTGATAAAATCTAGGCGGCCCTGAGATACCTTTTGTAAATTTCACAAAAATTAAAGGATGTAGAATACAATATTGAACGGTAATAAAAAGGTACACGTTTAAAACATATTTTAATTGTTACAGAATTAAAACTAAATATAAATGTATAATTATCTGACAAAAACTAGCTAGGAATTCAATTACTCAAAACACTTCCTTTCCTGTTCACTGCATAAAACTGCATGCTTTTCAAAAGATATTTTCATGTTAAGACGTATTATGTGGAGTTCTACTGCGAAAAACAGCTAAAATAATTTCTCCCATGCTGTCGATAATACTTGGTCGGTTGGTTAATAAATTATATAAAAATGCATTTAGCCACTCCGAACGAATATCAATTTACTTAGGAAATCTAAACAAAACTTAAAATTAACTTCTCACTGAGCACATCTGCATCTTTGGCTATACAGAGCGTCCCAGAAATAAGTGCAAGTATTTTAAGGGGTTGTAGATCTCGATAAAAGAAACATATTTTCTTTTAATCGTTTTTCAAAAAGTCCAAAATAACGGAGTTATTTTACTTTAAAAATATCAGAAAAATTGCTATAATTTTGAGAACCACTGGAATCTTTTTTGGATTTTCTTTCTTGTAAATTTAATCTACTACCTATGTTTATCAAGAAATTATTATTTTTTAAATAAAAACTAAAAAAATTTCCAAAAAAATTTCCCAAAATTCCGAATTTTCAAAAAAAAATTGTCTTTCTGGGCTTGAACTATACAACCAGTTAAAATACTTACACTTATTTCTGGCACACCCTGTATAACAGCGATCGATAAAAGGGTATTAAGCGGGGTTTCCACATGCAAGGATTACTGGCGCCAGATTTATTGTCTGTGGAAACCTGTAAAATCGACTGGCGAAAGTTTAGTGGCGCCACTAATTTATGTGCCAGTAAAGTTCAACGCTCCTGTACTTTTTGGCGCCAGGTTTGTGTGTGAACAATACAGCAAACATCTCCAGTCGGTAAAAATGTCGTTTGTTTCAAAAAAGTGGTCTACTGAATTAATAATAAAATTTTTGGAAGCCTATGATCAACAGCCTTGCTTATGGAACAATAAAATAAGTGATTATAAGGACCGAAATAAAAGGGATGAAGCACAGAATATCTAGCTACGCAACAGAAGCCTCGTTACATGTATAAAATTGTAGGTCTCAAAAGGAGACAGGCTTTAAAAGCCTGTCTCCAAATCAGATATTTTGATGCGGTAGTTTCACTACTACATAACAGAGGGCGATAAATTTAAAAGAAAACAGTTTTCTGCAAACGAAATTCAAAAGAATTTTAAGCAGTGTTGCCATTGTGTAATTTATATTGTAATATTTCCTGATAAAGCTTAGCTTCAAATTTGCTACATCATTTAAACATATTAAAATAGATTAGAGCTCTTTTTTCAAACATTTAAGTATTTAACTCGCCATGTTAGTTGGAGTTAAATCTTACGAGCTGAATTAAAATCACTTCCTGACGTTTGATTCTAAATGAATCCTGAATTTTGATTGTAATTCGGCGACAATATAATAAGTATTGTTCTACTATTACGACACCACTTCCTGACGTTCGATTGTGTTCATACCGTATGATCGGGAAAAAACGGCGTTAGAGATGGCTATGAAATGAAAATCGCTGTCATTTTATGTGTAAATTTATATGGGAAATGTCATCGATCGTCTTTTCCCAGCCAACTGGACGCCGTTTTTTTCGGTATCGTACGGTATTTGATATATACTTGCGTATTTTTCATGACATTGCACTATTATGGTAGCATGAAGCATATCAAGTGATACCGTAATATAGTATCATATTACGATACATGGCGTTCGATTGGGCTTAAACTTGGTATATTACGTATCTTCAGTGACATTGTAATATTATGGTACCATGAAGCATATCAAGAGGTACCATAATAGTACATAGAGGTACCATATACAATAGAGGTACCATATACGATACCATTTCCTGGCGTGCGATTGGACTTATACTTGGTATAGTAAGTATCTTCGGTGACGTTGTAATATGATGGTACTATGATGCATATAAAGTGGTACCTTAATATAGTATCATATTACGATACCACTTCCTGACGTTCGATTGGGCTCATATTTGATTATACTTGCGTATTTTTGATGACATTACAATATTATGGTACCATGAAGCATATCAAGAGGTACCATAATAGTACCATATACGATACATTTCCTGGCCTTCGATTGGGCTTAACTTGGTATAGTAAGTATCTTCGGTGACATTGTAATATGATGGTACTATGATGCATCTACTATGATGCATATATAAAGTGGTACCTTAATATAGTGCCATATTACGATACCACTTCCTGACGTTCGATTGGGCTCGTATTTGAATATACTTGCGTATTTTTGATGACATTGCAATATTATGGTACCATGAAGCATGTCAAGGGGTACCATAATGTAGTACCATATTACGATACCATTTCCTGGCGTTCGATTGGGCCCAAATTTGATATACTTGTGTTTCTTTATAAAGATTTGTTTAATTAATAATTTTAATTTATTTTATGAATTTTAATTTATTGTACAATGTCGTGACAGAAACTTTGATGCCGAACTAATATATTATTAATTGTACCTGTGTCACTTTTTAAAATCTACCTAGGTCTATATAAATAACGTGGCAAACAGAAAAAAATTGTTATTATAGTATTTTTTTAGTCAATTAACATTTTTTGTACTGCATTTTAATAAATCATTTCCATTATTATTAAACGTATATTTCATTACTAACGTTTCAGCATTAATAAAGATCACTATCAATCGCTCTGTATATTATTAATTTTAAAGGTAGTTGAAGTTATTTTCTTAGTTAACATAATAAAGTAGTGTATATTGTATATTAAAAATGTATTTTGAGAGCATATGTTTTCTAATAATATACTTAAAATTAAAACTATTTTAAAAGCCAAACGAATAATTAATATAAGTGTATGACAAGAAACGAAGAATAGAAAGGAATTATTATACACCAGAAAAAGAATGGGAGGCCAATTAAAGTCTGTTTGAATCTGGCAACTGTGCATTTTTAGCCGAGCTTCAAGGCCGTCGACGTGCCGTCGATCTACGTCGATCCAAAACCGAAAGTTGAAAATTTCCAATTATATTCTGATTATGATATTGTCGCGCCATCTAGTATTTTATTTGTGCAATTTTAGCTCTTTCATTTCGAGTATTTTTCTGTTGCGTAGCTAGATATTCTGTGGATGAAGCCTTAAGAAGAATTGCTGGAGTCATGTCTGATTCTCTCAGCAACTTTGATGTAAATTCCGGAAAGGCCAAAATTCGAAGTATTATGAATGCTTACACCCTAGAGCATAACAAGGTGTCAAAATCTCATAAAACTGACCGTAATGACATGCCAGTTTTAAATTTACTATAGACCTGTGGAAACGGGTAATGGCGCCACAATCTGGCGAACACTGGTGCCAGTAATCCTTGCATTTGGAAACCCCGCTTTATAATTAATACATTTTTCAAAATAAAAAACGCAAAAAAACAAGCGTCATTACACATTGGAAATAAGATTGTATCCATAACAATGTATAATTTGTATTTTCTACACCGTATAAAATTGTGATTTTTTGGAAATACGTGCAACTTTTAAAGCGCAAAGAAGGGCCAAGAGAAAGACAAACCCACTGAACATTTCATAAGTGCAATAAAGAAGGTTTGAAAATGGCATGTCGTGATATTCGAGACATCGTTTTAATGCTAATTGTATGGCGTTTATGCATCCATGTAAGTATATATGATCTAGGATCTGAAGATATCAGAAGATTTATAGTTTATCTGAAGTCAGTTGGAATAGATTGGGACTCTTAATTTCGGCACTGTCTCAGAGTCTCAGGACTTCCAAATGACTTGAATTGAATCTTTCCAAATTACACTTACTAACACTTTTCAAGTAATATAAAAAAATGCATGTACTCTCTATTTAAGCTCGTAGTATTTGTATAACTCGGTTGTTTACGGGGTTATCCGATGGTGGAAGTACTGGCGGCGAATGCATCAAGCCTATAACATATTTCAGTGATACAAAAAAGTTTTACTTACTTGCTATACTCAGAGTGATATGGAGATGGAGGAAAACTGGCGTGTTGTACACCCGGTAAAGCGGTTGGACGCACAGCGCCAGACGTAATTTGCGGCATTTGCGGAATCGAAACGGGCGAAGGCTGCGACATGCTTCCGGCGAACATCGCCTGCGTACTTGATTGTATAGGAGGAAATATGTTAGTTTCTTGGGACAGTTGCGATTCTTGCGACTCGTCAGTTAAAACGCCCTAAAATTTCAAAACATATAACAAGGAATTCCAATTAATAAAAACATTTAGGTACCTTGAAAATGTCTTCAACGTCTTTGCTGTTAATGTTTTGTATGGACTCCAAGCTAAAGTGAGGTCCTAAAATATCACTAAGTTCATCTTTGGCATCTTTGGAGCTTTCCGTGCTTCCCAGGGTTTGTGACAATTCTCCCTCATCTAGAAAAAATATATATTTTTATTTAATATTATTTGTTGAAGATATTAAAAAATTAATTTTATTGAAGACCCTTTGCTACAAAAACTTAATGATAAATACGTTAAGTTTCTTCTTTGTATTCAAAATTTTATCTAGAATGTAAAAATAAAAAATACCTTACAATCGAAAAAAACGGCGTCAAAGACGGCTGAAGAATGACAATCGATAATTTTAGCGATGTCAATCCCGTAGTCGTCGTTTACTAAAAACTGACATAAAACGTGTCAAAAATTAACACAAATTATAGAAAGATTAAAGCTTGATTTCCATGCATCCGTTGTCCGACGATACGTTGATACGATATTAATTTTATTGGTAGAATTTAAAGACTTTGATTGGTTAGAAAATAACGCAGTTTTTAAATTTATTGCATTTTCATGCCTCCGTTTATCGGATATACGTTGGTGTCATTTTATATTTTCGTTTCCATAACGATTTTGCTATTTTACTTATATTTTTATAAAGGTTAGATTAAATTTGTCAAAAAAGTGTCAAAACGTCCGTTATCGTATGAACGGATCCATTGATGGGCTGAAGTAAAATATTTACGGATGAAAAGTGGCGCGAAAACGCTATGACTAATCAGAGCACCGTCGGACCAACGTATCAACGTATAACGGATGCATGAAAATCAAGCTTAAAAAAGGATAGAATCGTTGATTGAAGAAATAAGAAGATGCGCAACCTTATGGGCAATTTCGTGGCACAAAACGTGACCGAGATGGCGTTACCGTCAGCTTGTCCGAGATTTAGTTTAGCTCTGCACTGCTGCGCGCTGATTTTCATTTACAACGCAGCGGATAAAGAACACTGTGCCGTAGTTCTGCTTTCAGCCGACAGAGCGGTTGCCGGAGTAGTGTTTCCAGAACCACGGATTAATTCGTAGATTTACGGATTTTGGGTACAATACGTTAATAATACGGATTTTCTATCGTTAAATAATTTAATATAATATTATATGACTAAACAAAGAACGGCATCAGAGTTGGCTGTGAAATGAAGATCGCTGTTATTTCACATGTAAAATATTATGGTAAATGTCAATAACCATCATCTCCAAGCCAACTAATCGACTTTTTTCGATCATACGAAATATTCAGTACCTATAAAATAATTTTAATCTTTGTTGTTTATTCTACATGGTGGAGGCAGATGCCGAATTCGGCCTATGTCCGAAATAATTAGACATATGGCGATTATAATTAAATATACCTACCTATATCCACAAAGTTACGCGGAAGAGTTTTCATTGCATTGGTTTCAACTTCTATGCGGAGGGTGTTAATCTTTTGTTGTTAAATTATACCAAAAAAAGATTAACCCCCTCCGCAAAGAAGTTATATAAAGACTATTTATAACCACGAAGTTGCACGCATCTGGCAAGTTTAGTATGGACAAATCGCCATACATATCTAATTATTTCGAACATAGGCCCAATTCGGCATCTGCCTCCAACATATACACAAATAAATTTTCAATATATAAACGCAGATTTTTCATCCAAAGATATTTTCGTCAAACGTATTACAGATATTACACATTTTAATAATTTAATACCAATCCAAACCAAACACTGTCATCTTCAGTTCCACACCGTCTTCGATATGCCTTCGCTGGACGAATTAGAGAAAATAAGTTTTATGCCTTGGCCGCAGAACGATTGCTGGCTCCACTGTACAACAGTGAGATGTAAGGGGAAGTCAAATCAGCTTTGTCACGAATTCGTCCATTAGGTTGTATATCTTTCCAATTCTTTCAATCAATGATAGAACGTTTCCAGACCCACAAATCTATTTCCAAAATGCTTTTTTTCTCGAATTTTATACTACACCATTTAAAAATCATATTTATTATAATTTTTGTCCAAGTACTTTTAGTGATTCTAATGAAATTTTCAGGGTAAATGTTACTATATAAGTGCTACATATTTTAATTATAAAAAAGTGTCGAGAAATTCATCAGGGACGTGCATATGGGTAATCACTGGAATATTTTTCAAAAAAAAACATGTGGGCCACTGACTTTTAATATCCAAATTGTGGAAGCCGTTTAATGCCAATTAAAAGTTGTATCTTGATATTTTGTCGATTTCGATCTCCTTGATGAGATAAACGCAATTTTACTAATCACAATTACTAAATGATGTATTTTACCTAATTTATTATTAAATATTATTACTATTAGTTAATAGTAATAATAAGATTGAACTAATGTCCAATCTACAGCAATTTCAAATAAAAAAATAATGGTATTTAGAATAATTACAAAAAAAACTTTTAAAACAAAAAAAAATTTAAACAGTTTTAACATCCAGTAGCTCTAAAACTATGCATTTCCATACCCATATTTATAGGATTTTTTTTCATATTTTTTGATGGGGAATCAATGAGTACTTTAAAACTTTCGCAAGTGAATGTTATTAAAAAAAATTAAAGATTGCTATTAATGCGGATTCCCACTACTCGTATATTTGGCAAGTACGCAAATATTTGCGTACTTGGCCAGTAAAACCAAACTTTCGAATTTAAACAAGTACGACGCTCCCACTACTCCTTTATTTGGCAAATACGCCAATAGTTGTGTACTTGGCAAGTACAACAGTTACAAAACCTCTCGGCCTTCTCTCGAGTCTCGATCAGTGTTTATTCTGTTTCGAGCATAGATAATCGCGTTGTCGCTGCAGCGGCGTTTGTGGTATTGAGTGGCTGCTATAAAAGAATTAAAGCTTCTCAAGCTAATATTTTATTTTTGATGCGAAGCCAGGCGTCATTAATCAAGTTTCTGTTTTTATGTTGTGGATGCCTAGGTTGCCATATGACTGGCTCATTTTCATACAGATCCAGAAATACAAAAACAACTTCTTGCGACAACAATTTCGAAAAAAACTCGCACCACGCACACGCGACGGAAGTCGAAAATGCAAAAATTAATTGTGGTCAAGCTGGCAAGTAGTGGGAGCGCATCGACAAGTATGCACTTGTCAAATTCGCAAATAATTGAAATCCCTTGGACTTGCTGTATTTTCACCGACAACGGGCGGGACTTCGCCAACGGCGAATAATTGTACAAGTAATGGCCGAGTGAACTACTTCCAATACATCCCAAATATAGGCAAGTGACAAATATTTGCCAAATACACGAGTAGTGGGAATCCGGCTTTAGACTTGGATCAAGGCAAATTCATAAAATTGCGTTTATCTCATCAAGGAGGTCGAAATCGACAAAATATCAAGAGACGACTTTTAATCGGCATTAAACTGCTTACACTATTTCGCTAACATGAGAAAAAAGTCAGTTTCGTACATGCTTTTTTAGAAAAAATATTCCAGTGCTAACCCATATACACGTCCCTGGTGAATATTATGTTGACATTTTTTTTAGCTTTAAAATATGTCATAATTATAGTAACTTTTGCTCTCAAAATTCATTCGAGACGCTAAAAATACTTGGAAGAAAATTATAATAAATCAAAACATTAAAATTTTGACACCCTGTAGCTATAAAACAAAGCAGAATCGGACCTATGTCGATATGAAAAATAAATTTTTATTTTTAAGTAAATAATCTCCCCACGAGAGATGGCACATGTTTTTTTGAAACACCCTGTATAATTATTTGTGACTTACCTCCCAACGTTTCCAACTCCGTGTTTTTAGTTAAGTCGTCATCTTCCTCATTAATAATACTGTTCACCAGATCAGGGTCCAACAGATCGCCGGACAAAGCCAAAACATCTTTCAAATCTTCAGTATTGTCATCGTCATCATCCTTTGTAGCATTGGATTTCTCGTCCTTATCCAAATCTAACATCTCGTGACTTTTGTGACCCGATGACTCGCTGTGTTTTTCCGATTTCACGTCCACTGGCATGTACTCATCCTATAATAAAATATTATTAAAAATAATATACAGAATAACAGTGACAGATATTTTACCGTAGACAACTTCATTCCGTGAAATTTATCGTCTTTTTCGTCGTCACTACTGCCGCTGTGAATTTTTTTAGTGTCGGTAATGTCCATTAGGTCTTTACCGAAAAAGGCCTCTTGCAGGTATGGCGGGAAAGTCTCCGAAAGCTTACTTTTAATTTTTCTTCGGATTTGTTTTCTTCTCGGCTTTTCTGCATCGCCACTCGGTGGCGTTGTTATAGCTGTTGGTAGTGGGGTCATTGGCGATTCCATTCCTATAAAAATTATACTTATTATTAGAAAAAAAGTATTTAGTACTTATACTTATGAGGACGGCATGATGTTTATAATAAAAATGTTTGGATAACTAAGTTGAATCAGTCTTATAAGGTGGATTTTCATGCATCCGTGATCCTATGGCACGATCATTCGACTGCGCTCTGATTGGTCGTAGTGTTTTTGCGGCAGTTTCATCCGAAAATTTTTAACTGCCGTCCGTCAACGGGGAAAATTAAATTAAATTTGACTTTCCTCGTTGACGGGGAAATTTAACCTCTAACTGTAACTGTTAGATATAATAGTATACTGGGGATTCCCCAGTATACTATTATATCTCTTTTACAAATATTTAGCAATGATTTGTCGTCTTAATTTGCAAATTGCAGTATGTCAACACTACATACTGAAATTTGCAAATTAAGACGACAAATCATTGCTAAATATTTGTAAAAGAGAGATTTTCTCTTATTCTTGTTCTATGTTCTCAAAATTCTATTTTTTCTCGGGAATGCTTAGAACGAAAAAAATCAGATAAAAATTAAAAATGTCACTGATTCCCTTTCCAACCTATTTTCTCTACGGCAATTATAAATTCTCGACATTTACTCGTTTATTCTAGTTCATTATCGAGGAACGTTCTCCAGAAATAAATTCTCAAGCAATTTACAACACTCTAGGTATATCTAGAATAGGGTCCAAAGCTGTATTAAAGATTTGATTACAGATTGGCAAACTGTATCTGTTTGTATATAATTTTAACCAACAATAATTGATATAACTTAGTAATACTATTTTATTGCCTAAATTTTATTCACTTAGAGGTTTTTTGGTAAAAATTTTATTCATTTTTAGAGGTTTTGAGGAAATTGATCGGCCACAAATGTTTAGACATTATTTAAAAAAATTAAGGTATTGGTCCAACTAAAAATATACAAAAACATATTTTTTGCTTTATTTCCGGAATTATAATGAAACATAGTTTCACCTCAAGTGTAAAACTGACAATAATAAGTAATAACATATAAAAGTGCCCTTTTTACAAATATTAACAAACAAGAACCTAACTTGTTCAACGCGTCGGATAACAGGTTTTTCATTAACATGGAAGTATACATAAATATACTTACCACTGATTGAATTTGTTTGTCCAGGTAACATATCGATATCGTCATTATCCTGACCCGTCCGCAATCCACGCATTCTAACCAGAAAGCCGCCGATGCCCAATTTTTGCAGGTTCCTTTGCCTCTTTCTCCTGAGAACCGATATTCCGCTCTCCAATGTAAAAATAGTAAAACCCTCGGGCGGAGGCCCGTCCTCCTTCGTCCAAATCATACCTTCTTTATAAATTTCTTGCGGCTCGTCTTTCAAATCAACCAATTCCAACTTGGTATCTTCCAGAGTGTTTTCGCCTGGAAATCCTAAACAACATTAAAGTAATAATTAGATTTAACTGTAGAAACAAAAATCTGAAAAAAATAATACATTTAAAAGGTATATGTTGTGCAATATTACAGTAGAACTTCTCTCAGACATTTTTTCTTGGTTTGATGCTTTAAGAACTTTCTTTTCTTAGTTGAAGAATTAAAACTGTTTTAAGTCTGGGACTACCCTAAGAAGTGTCCTAAAAGCTAGTGATGGGATACTCGATTATAGGGGATGGCGTAAAAAATCCTAATGTGAATTGAATTAAATTAACCATTTTTATAAATTGATAACTCTTGTGAGGAAGGGTGAAGGGAAAAGAGACAGATGAAGCAGAAAAACAAACTAATTTTATTGGAAATTAAAACAAAATTGTAATTTTGACAGTTAATGTTTTTTTTAGAACATTAGAACGTTATAGCACAAGCATCACGAAGGAGAAGCAGGAAACATACAAAGGTAAATATATTTTAAAAACATATTATGTGCAGTGACTTTCTAACATAATTAATTCTTTTCAGAATCAAGGTCCGTCATATACTTTGCGGTTTAAAAATCAAAAGTTGCAGTTTCGCTGTGACCGAAAACAGTGAACGAACGCAGTGACCGAAAACAATTGAATATGTCAATCAATCCTAATTTATGTCATATACTAACATACCAAATCTCGTTGTTTTATCTGAAAAAATAAAAAAGTTATAGGGGGTGATCCACTTTTGAGACGTACCCGGTATATTTATCCGTTGCGTATCTGAGAGACAAAATTTCACGACCTACATCGACAATGCTTCGAAATAAACTAAATCAGGCGATCAAGCGAATCGCTCGCCGCTTACTACTTGCCGTTCATTACCGAAAGAATATGCGTAAGCCCTGCGCACGCAGCTTACTGCTTAGCGTTAACGAGTACTTACAACATGCGACGGACAAAAAACCGTATTTTTAAATACGAGCGATATTTCGCTGGAGTGATCACGCGGTTATTGCAATCGCTTGATACTCGAGTACTCGATTATTGAAATTAATCGGTTTTTCCCATCACTACTAAAAGCAAAACCTGAATCATCAAACCAAGAAAAAGAGTGCATCTACCAGGTACCTTGCGAGTGCGGTGAGTCATATATTGGAGAGACAAAACGTCCTCTACATGTACGACTTGACGAACATAAAAAACATACGCAAAGAGGTGAAACAATGACGTCGGGCATTGCAGATTATGGTGGTCCAAGCACCACCACATAAAATGGTTGGAAGCCCGGGTTGTCTACAAAGAACCCTATTGAAAAAAACCGCAAATTTAAAGAGGCCGTATTTATTTCTAACTATAATAAAATCTGTAGCAATCCAAGTATGGAACTTTCAACAATATGGCAACCACTCATAAAACGCTCCCACCTAACCCAACTAATTCACGGGTGAGTACTCGCCTCTAGCAGAGAAGAACAAACGTAGAGAAGCGACAAAACGAATCTCGAGTGGAAGGTAAACATGCTAACTGTCATCTCAACGTGTTTTCGGAATACGGCCAGCGTTGCCATTGTTAATGATAAGTCCTGAAATCTTACTATTTTTTTATTTGTGTAAATAATCTTTTTTTGGATTAATTAATCTATATTTTATCCTTACCTTATAATAGTACTTAAAGAAAGAAACTAACTTTAAGGACTAAATATTATTAAAACTTAAAATAGATGCAGGTTTTTAGCGTTTAATTATTTAAAACTGCCTTTTGCAAAATTAATAAATTGCCCCCTTGTGAAAAGGGGGTTTAAATTAAAAGCCTTGTTATATAAATGAATAAATGAATTAGAAAAAATATTTACTTAATTCTAATTTCGAGAATATTAGTACTGGGCCATCAATTTCACAAAAACTGTATAGTCTAATAATCAAAGAACATTTGGAACACCCATATCCTCAATTTCCAAAAGACTATGCTCTAAAACTCTCTATCGGGCTGAAAATATTCTATACTATGAAAATACACGAATAGGGACCTCAAAATAAAACAAAAAGATAAGAAAACTATTAGAAAATTAAATATTTTTTCGCATATATAATTTAATAGCGGCGCTAATTTGAGTTGTGTTATCTTTAAATGTAATATGGTTTTTTATGTAAAATATGATTTTTTAATATATAGAGTGAGTCTTAAATAAGTGCAAATATTTTCAGGGCTGGTAGACCTCGATAAATGAAGCATATTTTCTCTTTACCGTTTTTCAAACAAGTCCAGAATAACCGAGATACTTTGAAAATTAAAAAACAATTTTGGTTACATTTTTAGAACCGCTGAATCTTTTCTGAGTTTTCTTTCTTGTAAATTTAATCTACCACCTCTGTTCTCATATTATAAACATATTATGTTTTTTAATCATCTGCTGATGCACTGATGTAAAGTGTTTTAGTGTATTGTGGTGAATTAGTGTTTTATTTTGCTGTTTTAATACCCCAGTTCCTACCCTCAACTGTAATCATGTTATTTACTTTTTTTATTTATTTTATTTCTTTTATTTTAGTTTGGTTTAACGCTTGTGATAACAGCTGATAAATATTCGAATTTTTCTTAAAATTGTTTTACTTAAAAACACACTTTCAAATAATATTAATTTCGAAACGAACAATATTATCAGATACGATTTAAAATCTCTCTAAAAGGAATATGTTAGAAAATGGTTAGAACGCGGTAAATCCACAAATCGCGGAAAACCGTTAAATCTTAAAAATAGTTACTATTCAATATGATTCCTAAATATTTCTAATATACTTTTTTCCTGAACACATGTTTTTCAGTGTACAACTTTTCTTATTTCTTTTGCCTTCATTGAATTTCTCTCAGTGCAGCTATAAACATAAACTACTATAAACATGCTATCTGTCACGTACGCCAATTTGAAGGTCACAAAACTTGGTCCCCCTACTTCAATAGTGCCGACGGTTTTGTCGCTTCTCTACGTTTGTTTCTGCCTCAGTATATAAGCTCAGTAGTTTTAGGATTAAGTTTAGTTCACACTTGATAACGGTCAGTGATACTTCTAACCGAAACCACAAATTACCTATAACAGATGCGAAAGAAAGCGACTGCATCGGAAACCGCTCGGCAAACCCGACACGCCTATTGAGTGGTGTAAATACACCAGTCGTTTAGTCCGGAAACCTATGCTGTGTCGTATTCGCTTGCTGGAATGACATAGTGCGTGGTTATATGTTTCTTTTTAAAAACGCGTGTAGGATTTTTGTTGAACTTTTGAACTGTTATTTCTAAGTTTTGGTAATTTGTATATCTTATTTAAAATGGGATGCAAATGTGTTTATTTATAAGGAAAAAAAAAGATATATATAGTATAAAAAATTAATTTAACAAAATTTAATTAAAAATGTGACAAAATAGTTACCTTTCTATTGGTTCTATCGGACTTTTATCGACTATATAAATCTTTATTTGTAAACTTTAATACATCAAATATTTTCAATCTAATAAATCATTTAATGATGTTAAATACATAATGATGTAATGAACAAGAGGAAATTTCTCACATGGGTGGTCAAATTTTATAGTTTACATTATATCAAACAGCCTCTGAGAAATGTTTTCAACTCAAAATGCCTTTAATTATGTTTGACTACATCATTAAAAAGTCTTCAAATACATCAATGTGATATTTGTCTAAAATTTGCAAAAGAATCCGAATCTCTGGATAGCTCGAAATTATTTACCCATTTAAAAGCCTTTGATCATGAAAGTGGAAAAATTTGTTCATTTTATTTACAGGCTGGAAAAATTATTTATATTAAATTTTGATGAGTTTTGCACTGAAGAAAACATTCAGACGCTGTTTGATATAATGAAAACTATAGAATTTGACCACCCATGTGAGAAATTTCCTCTTATTTACATCATTAAATTATTTATTAGATTGAAAATATTTTATGCATTAAAGTTTACAAAAAATAAAGATTTATATAGTCGAAAAAAGTCCGATAGAACCAATAGAAATGTAACTATTTTGTCACATCTTTAATTAAATTTTGTTAAATAAATTAATTTTTTATACTATAAATATCTTTTTTTTTCCTAATCTCCTACGAGCTGATATAATATGACGAGCAATCTATTAAATTACTGTGAGATTATACAGAAAAGTCCACAGACTTCGAGACATAGGAAAATCAAGTCCATTTAGCGTGTGTCCAAATTTTGACAAGTTTTCAAAAATGACAGTTTTGTTTAGACTGACGTTTAATTTCACCTGACTTCTCGGTGAATGATTTCTTTTTATGGGGGTACATAAAATCTAAAATTTACGGCCATGAAGAAATTCAAAACTTGGAGCAGTTAAGGCAGAAAATATTTAATGCCTTTGACACTGTCACCCCTGATATGTTATCCAATGTGAGGAGGGGATTTTATGATCGTTTGGGTTATTGTTTAATGCAAGAGGGAGGCACTTTTGAACAATTTTTGTAATTTTTTAAATTTCATTATCCTGTTTTTTTACCGTTTACCCATTACCTACCTTGACGAACATGGGAAAACGAAGGTCCTTTTCAGGACCACAAATATTTTGATTGAGAAAATTGGTAACTTTTTTTTGGATTAAAAAACAAAAGTTGTTAATATAATACCAATTTAAAAGTGTTTTAGTAGTTTTAATACACACTATGATATAAAATTTATTATTATTATAATGTACATTATTAATACTATTGTTCATTCGAAATGGCATTAAGGCCCCATTGCAACAATGATTTAAATTTTTCTTAAAGATAAGTAGAGCTTAGAATGAGCTGTATTTATATTCACCTTAAATGAGGGAATTTGACTGATACAATTTTTGAATTTGAATTGTTTTTAATGATACTAACAATTTTAGTTCAATTTTTAATAAAATTTATTTAATATTAATAGAAATCCAAGAGATTTGAAACCTCTTTTAGCGATTTATAACATTCTCAAATGAATTACAGGTGCCCTTATTTTCTATGAAAATCACACAGCTTTTTTCATAGTCGCTGCAGTTGCTATAGCTATAAAAAACTAATTTTTTAAGGTGTGAAAATTGCGACACACGCTAAATGGACTTGATTTTTCGTATGTCTCGAAGTCTATGGATCTTTTCATATGCCTCGATAACATATTGGTGCAGATTATTTTCACCCAAACAAATAATAACCCAAACTATACATTGATGCGGATTGTCTATGAACTCTTTCTGAAGGTCACAGAAACCTGAACGCGTAATTCGGTGTTCTTTCGCATCTGTTGCATCTTTCGCATCTGTCGGTATCTTCTGGTTTTCTCTTTTTGCTATCTAGCAAAAAGACAAAACAACTACTAGAGCATAAAAAGAACCTAGAACGTATAATTGTAGGTGTCGCCCCACGGGGGTAAACCTCGTGAAATCAACGATCTCCGACGACTACTGCAGAGAATGCGGAGAGGAAGAAGAAACGATAGAGCACCCGCTGTGCCACTGTCCGGCACTGGAATACCGACGCTTTAAAGCTTTATGGTACGATTTTTTGGAGGGACTGGAGGAAGTAGCAGAAGCTAACATCAGCGATATCGGGAATTTTACAAAGAGCTGGAAGTGCTTTAACGCAAAGAATGAATGAGAGAAAGGTATGGTACTGAAGAGGTTTGGTACAATAATACGGGGGTATAACAATGGGCCCAAGGCCTCTGACTGAGGCATCAAACAGGATCCTAAACCCAGCAACCTAACCTAACCTAATATTGGACCTTGTAACGATTACATATCTCTTAAAGAAACAATTATTATTTTTATGCCTGCATATTGCAGGCATACCGGGTTGGTATTGCACCCATACCGGGTTGGCATTTCTGCCTTTCGGTGCCAATTTTTGTGTGTACAAATAGTACAGCCAATATGCGCAGTACAAAAAGATGTAAGATAAAGAGAAAAGAGCAAGTATTTTCCCAAGGGCATAAAATATAGCGTCAGATTACGTAGTTATGTAATAAACAGCTTGCATTTTTTTCTCTCCGATTTACAAGATCACCATAGCGATTTACTCCTAGACATGTAAATGCCGATTCAAGACTTATTAATCTGGATTCCTCACTAATTTGATGGTAGCTTTTCCAATATGTTCGGATTAGCAAAGTTCTACTGTATATATTTCATAATTTTTAAATAATCATCTAAGTATTTAATATTTTTCTAACATGCATTACCTCCTGCAACTACGGATTCGATAGTAGCCATAATTCCAGCCTCTTTGTCCTGAAGAGTGGGCAATTTCTTGCGCTTTTTCCTAGTTCCGTGGTACTCCAAAGATAGCGACTTTATTAGGCTATTTCCGGTTTCGCTCAGACATACACCGTCAACAAAGAAATTGGCATTAGATCGCGATTCCGGGCTCTTCGTCGGAGTGGGTGGTTTCGAGGTTACCGGTTGTGGTACCAAATGAGGCGGAGGTACGTCGCGAGGTCTGCATAGTAGACAGTAGTAGCCCTCTTCAGCACATCTTTCTGCATCCTATAATAAAGTAGATAGATAAGATAATACCTTCTAAAAAAGTCTATATCTCTGTGGTGGGTTCTATTTAAAAAAAAACGTTTTTTTTTAAATAAACAAAATAGTTTTCAAGAATTAGATGGAGAAAAGGGGATACTAGCTTACCTGTTCCGTTTTTATAAGATCACAAGCTCCGTGTAACCATCTTTCGCACTGAACACATTGAATAATAAGATCTCCTTCAGTATATAAATCACTGCAACTGGGACAGCTAACATGCGAGGCACATGGACCACACTCAGTACATCCATTCATCCACGTCGAGTTAAAACCGGGATCGGTTGAACCACAGGTCTGGCAACAGGCGCACCACTAAAATTACAATAAAGAGTAAATGGCAGAAATGTGTAAATACTATTAGTTTACTACTAATAGTTTGTCCAGTAAGAGAATATTTAACCACTTATTCAAAAAATTACAGAAAAACAACCTAGACTTGTAGTAAAATGACAGACAACTGACAATCATTTTCAACAGATTGTATATATTGTTTTGGGGGAGAATATATGTCTTTGACAAACTATAATCTAAAAACCCCTAATCTACTATTAAATGATAATGACTAGCTTGACATCCAACAACTTTCTATTGCAAAATAAAACACTAGTTCACTACAATACACCAAAACACCTTACTTTTGCACCACCATGTTAGCATCATCACCAGATATGAAAGAGGGATGAGAAACTCTAGAGTTTTAATCATCTGGTTAGCAAAACGCGCGTCCAATGCAAAAGTAAAATGTTTGGTGTACTGTGAACTAGTGTTTTATTTTGTTGTTTTAACGCCAAAGGTTCCAACCCCCCAACTGTGACTTTCTATTGATATAGTATATTCATTCGATGGAAGTATATGTGCAGTTCTTCAGCATATACAATAACAAAAAAATATTTAATTTAATTTTGACATATGTCATGCAACAACTATCATGGTACAAAAATCCTGCAATGTGCAATAAGTGGGGTTAGAGAACTAAATATCAAAAAAAGTTAATGAGATGTTTAGGATTTAATTTTATGTCCGTGTGTCAAGTTTCATAAATATAGGCTTGGTGCATTCTCCGCCGGTGCTGCCACATCGGAGAATATCGTAAACAATCGGTATATACAAATACACGAGTTTAAACAGCAAGTATACGAAAAAAAGTTTATATAATTATTCTAAAAGTTTTAGAAAGTGTAATTTGTGAAAATTTAAAAAAAATAAAAAAGGAAATATTTTGATATCTTCGGAAGATGAGTTTCTAGATGAGTTTTACGCACCGGTTTTGCTAGTGGGGAAACAACTTGGGCTATTTCGGGTCTAACGGAATTTTTTGAAGACACATAATTATAATATTCGAAGATATTCATAAAAAATTTAAGCAGTAGTTGATTAAAAAAAGAATATATCATTAATATTGGAAATTATATTTTATCTTCTCATAGTCTGTCTATTTAATTTTTTGATTATGTAATGGGCACTTTGTTTACTCACTTGTTTCGTTGAAATGCTTGATCAAATCGGTTTGAGAAGATGTGAAGCTATAAAATGTTGATTCGGGAGAGTTGAATATTGAAAAAAAATCGGGAAAGTTGAATATACACCAAACAACCACGTAATTACGCCCCCTTTTACGCGTTAACATTTTTTCGGCAATTTTATTAACATTTGAAATTGTTAGAACACAACGCGACGCCCAGTTCCGAGTTCTTTTTCACTTATTTTTTACTACCCGAAACAAGGTCACATCACACAAATCTTGTACCTGAGTGTTTTATAGTTTCAATAATTGCACTAGCAAAAAACTAAAATACTTAAATATCATGACAAAGCCACGATTTAAATATTATTTTAATGCGATCAACATGAACTGTAACCTGGACGGCGTGAAATACATAGCGAAAATTTCTGATTACTGCCGTAGAGAGCGCTGCGGTCGGAATTTTTTGAAATCAACTAAAATGCACCAAGCCTATAGAAGGATTTAAAAATTAAAATATTTCAACTTTATTGATTCATTTTTAGAAGTGTTTCAATAATCGTTAAAACAAAGAAATCCAACAAGAATAAGACAGTATTTTTTTATACTGTTAAAATTACTGGTACTTAAAAGTAACATTGTTTAAGATACTAAAGTAGTTACAATGACTGATAGAAAAAAAAACTTCAAACCAACATATAGTTTTCAAAAGGAATAGAGTAAGATTATTTAGAAAATCTATAAGGTTACGTAGAATGTGATTGATGAAAATTTTTGTTTCGTATAGGCCAATATAACAAAGTTCTGATTTTTTTTTTCAATTTATTGCCGGACTGTAAAATAGAATTAATGCTGTAACGTTTTTAGTTCGTTACATGTCTTTCATATATAATATATGATGTCGTATCGTTTCGCTGCTCTGTGGGCATTTATTTTCAAGGTTTCACTGCTCTGTGGAGCGCTGTCAACATCGCTTCAAGGTTTCCCTCTCTACACTGTGGATTCACTTTTGCTTTTGCCGCTCTACGCTCACCTTCAGAGCCCTGCTTAGAGAAATTGCAATTATTTAAATCTTGCTGTATAATTCACAATGCTGTATATATCACAACCAAACCAAACCCAACTCAACTTGTATTTGTATTTTGCTGGCACGTTGGCGTTCCTTTGCTTGTGTCCTCCAGAATGTGTATTGGAAGAAAGGACAATTGCCTTTGTTTATTATAGAGCCCTCGGAAGTATTTCGAGGGTCTTATGGATGGACATTATCTTATGGACGGATGTCCAAGTTACGGAGAGTATCTAAGGTACGGGTAGTGTCCCCATATTGCCACAGTATGGATGTAGCGTAAGCCCCATGCTGCTTCGTTCCCATCTATAAGCCTAGTCAGTAGTTACGGCTGTATTAATTCATGGTGTCCTCATTCTGGCCCCTTTTGTTGTATTGGATAGCCGAGAGACAGTACAGAGATATGAGCCCACCTCACGCTGTTACTGTTTGAAGCAAGATTACATAAAGAACAGCTAAGTGTAGATTTAAGTTCTAGTTTTACATTTAACATTTAAAACATTTTCAGTCTTAACATAATAACGTACATCTTAAGTAATATCGTACAGACTATGTTTAGTGATTAGATCGTTAAGAACATTCATATCGATTTAGTATTTTAAATATGATTTAGATCTTAGGTTTCATTACATTACGTTTTGTAATAGTATTACTTTCATAGATATTATTATTGCGCTATTTTAACAGATGAATAACCAAACATAGATTCTAGAATCTACGGGTTGCAACATCTCAGATTTAACATTGCATAAAATTTAACAAATTAAATAAAGTAATGCTACCTTTCATATATTTTCTAAAATTTTACACACATTGTATTTTTTAATAGTCTTTTCATAGAACATATTTAATATTATTTACATACATAGCTTTACTCGACATATAGCCACTATAATAATTATTAAAATTGTACAATGCTATTTACCATCAGAATACATCATGAATGAATATAGTCACTAGTTTTAAGTAATAAACAACTGTGTTTTCTTTCTCTGTTCATGGCTGGCGCCCAATATTTGTATTTTCGATTTATTATTGTTAGTTAGTTTCTTTCCAGTGAAATACCTTATCCACGACTGATCTACCAACGAAAAGCTGCCGTTCGCAGTGGTAATGTTTTATAAAAAACGCTACAATGCATTAGATTTAATTTTTATTAGATTCGCTTTGTCCTATGTTATTCATACAAAAAAATATAAAATTACTTTTTTTTTTCAAAAAATCCAAAATCTAATATTATTTTCAAGTCCCTATATAGGGTGAAACACGGCGATGTAGTTAGGAGACGTTTATGGAGAACAGGTAATAAGATTTTTTGAAAATTTGGATTTTTATACAAAGGCACCTGCTCCATCTTTCTAAAATATTTTCAGCGTTACAGTGTTGCCGCATCATTTGAAAAGTGGTAGCATCTTTCTTATTTTAAATAGAACACCCAATATATTATTACATTTTTGAAAACTACTTTCATATCTCATAATTTTTCCATTATACTAACTTACACCTATCTCTAATAGTTTTTGAGATAAAAAATAAAACGTGTAAAATTCACAACAACACGATCTTGAATAGGCATTGGTAAAATCATGAATTAAACATTTTTAAAGTTGAAATTGGGGTTATAAGTTAACGAAAGTCCATATATTCGATCTCTGCATTTTGTTGAAGAAAATCTGTATACATAAACTGTTTTACACTAACTCAGTAATAAAAAGAAAATCTGTTAGTTGCAAACTTATTGCAAACTTTTTTTGTTTGTTGCACACTCGGTATAACTTGTCATAAAACAAGTAATCAATTTTACGAAAAAAATATGTTGCTATTATGACTATTATTCCCAATAACGATTAACTCAATAACTATTTAATTTTTACCTTGCACTTCCAGTTTCCATGAGGTACAAATTCCAAAGGAGGATCCATACAGTAAGTATGATAAGACACGTCACAATCGTCACAAAGAATTAATCTACCCTCGTCATTTCTCTGTCCACAGCCTTCGCATACTGTACAATCCAAACACCTTTAAAATAAAGAAGAATTAATATTAATATAATCGAAGTAATACACAATTATTACCGCCAGCCCTTTTGCAGGATCACTTTAGTAACTTTGACGTTTACGCAATACGGATGGTAGCATTGACCGCACTGAACACAAGAAATAAGGCAACCTTCCTGATCTGTACCTAAGGCTCCACACATTACGCATATATCTTGGGTAAGAACAAACTTATCCTGAAAAAAAAGTTATTTTTATAGAATCGTAATAATTTGGGGTAAAAATTGTAGAATACTTAAGCCTCATTCATAACCTCAAAATCAGTGGAATAAATAAGTGGCTTCAATTAGCGTAGAAGGTTGTTCCTCTAATTTGAATGTAAACATTCAGAACGTGGTATTGGGAGGAATTTTCAATTAGACTTTCTCTATGGATACAACTGATTACCGCAAGATGTTGCTAGAATATTCTATTAATTTTAATTGCGTTTTTTAGACATTGCGAATGATTGTATACTAAAAAGTATAAAGTGTAATTGAAACCACTAATTTATTCCACTAATTGCGAGGTTCTGAATGAAGCTTTATACGTAAAAATTTACGATCATTCACTATGTCTAAAAATACAATTAAAATTAATAGAACATCCTAGCAACAGCTTGCGGTAGTCAGTTGTATCCATAGAGAAAGTCTAATAAAATATTAGTTTATAAAACAATAAACTTTTCATTTCTGACCACAATTCCTCTTGACGAATGATAATCAAAAGCCAAAATGACATTACTCGCACATATTCATTGCTGCCTGGCTTTGAATAAGAAGACTAAGGAAGGAGCATAATGTTATCCATGTATTCATGCATGGTGGGCGGAAAAGCCACCATAAAAGCTCTCTAGGGTGGGGATCCTTGACAGTTCTGTTTGACGATTCATTTGACACATTTGAATTTGATTTGAAATTTTGTGGATTTGTCAGTCTTTACGGAGCTTATTTTATGTTATTTATTATTTATTCTACTACTGATAGTTGTATAAAGGTAGTAAATCTAGATGGAAATTGTGGCAGAACTTAAATTAACAGTGACGCTATCGCGATTTATCGAAAAAGACTCTAAAATAGTTGGTTGTGTAGCGTGCGGTAGATCTCGGCAAAAATTGAGTGAAATAATGGAACAACTTTTCGCTAGTAAGTGACTATATAATATACATACGTGTAGTAAACCGATCATTTATGAAATTCACTTAAATTAACTAAATTATATATTTTTCTTGCATTTTAGCTTTTATTTATTACTTGTCAAAGATTAGATGTCAAAGAATTTAGATACGTTAATTTGACTTACCTGTTTCAGTAGCGTATCGGATGTTTGTGTTAATAAATACTTATTATAACTTATCTATTTTTATTAAAATTATATATTTTTATAACAATTTTAATAACTACCAACATTTATTCACAACGTAAAATAAAACAACAAATTATTGAGTCTACCCCACGTCTACTCTACATCATAGTTTTACATTTTTTAAATAAAATTAGAACGACACTGATAAACCGGAATTTAAGTCGGCCATATTTGAGGCCCATCGCGGTACCTAAGATTTTTGATATGCTCCTTCCTTAGTCTTCTTATTCAAAGCTGCCTGGAAACTTATGTGGTGAAATTGTGACAAAATAATTTAGTATTAACTAAGAACACGGTATGTCGCTAGTGGTAGGAAAAATAATTTTTAGAGGTTACTAGTTTATTTGGTTGCCTTAAAAAATGTCCTTTAAATGTATTTGACGTAATTGTCAACTTGTCAATGAGAAATAGTAAAAAAAATAGTTATATATCAATGACTAAAGAATCCAAGGACAAATAACACCCGAGAGCAAATTGTGACGATGCCATCAAACAGTGCCGTGGCATATATTTTTCTTAACCTAGCTGTTTGAAGCAATATTTATATTTTTTGATAATTGTTTTGACTACGCCTATGGTGTATCATCCTAATTAATTACGAAAAAAACGTATTAAAATGTTAACAAAAGGTACAAAACTAGTATCGACGTATAGCACATATCAAGTACATATAGATATTAATTGAAATTGAAGAATAATTATGGAATTCAATAAGAAAACGCTAAAAAGTTGGAGTGGACTGTTTATTTACCTATGAAACTATGTAACTCTAAACATTCTTAACCTATGTAACTCTCTTAACCTATGTAACTCCTGGCTCTTTCTTATCGCTGCTGCTTTTACACTTGAAAGCTGAACAACTAATCACCATTATAATAAAGTTTATACAAAGTTTACTACACACAAACTATTAAAAATCGCTAAAATTGTCGCTGGTGACCAAATGATGACTCATTGTTTGCCACCAAAACAAAAAAAAGGTCACAAATTCTGCTGCAGCCCGTATAGGGGCGTTACATGTCCTTATATTCTTTAGTCATTGTTATATATTATGTTGAAAACAGAATTGATATCTATGGCTATACAAACGCTTTTTTTAAAGCGCAAGTTTTAAATTGTTTTATTACACCTTACATTATTACGTTTATGCAGCTTTGAATAAACAATTCAGCAGTCAATAATTGTTTGTTAGTACATAACGCTTTCATCTATTCAACGAGGTGATCCATGACAGTGACGTTTTGTCTTTCATTTCAATTCACAGGTAAATTAAATGTTCTGTCATTCATTCTGTCAAACCTTTCCCGGCTCGATGGACAGCCTTTATGTTTTGAAAAAAAAAACGAAACCTTACCTTAGCAGAGCAGAGAACCAGTCGATTTTCCACGCCCGGCTCATCGTCACCTTTCCCGTCTGAAACAGGGCGCGACAGCCCTACACCGGGTGCTCCAAAAACGCCCCTCATCTTCGCTTTCGGACCCCGCTTTCTTCCAAACTCTCCTAATCTTTGGCGTTTCATAAAACCCTGCTTACCTGGCATACCTAGAGAAGATATTGATTAGGTCTAACACAGCAGAGAACCGTTCTTGGTACCGTTACGCAGTGAAAATGCGTACCAGCAACGAATGTATCGTTTAGCGAACGATAAGTTTTGCGTTCCAACCAGAATTGTAATCGTTCGTGAACCGGTTTTGGAACAATGATTTCGATATCGGCCCAAAAACAAGAATCAAAAGAACGTATTAAGACTGTGTGTCAGATGATTGTTTTTGTTTTATTTCTTTGACGATTTCCTGTTTTTAATTTGCTGATTCTTCAAGTTTTATTAGGCATTTATAGTTTTTACATATTTTAATAAAGATATTTATATTTTTGTCCTAAATATATGATGAGCGACCAAGAAAATAGTGATATTGAGTATGTGCATACCACTGAAGATGATTTGAAACTTGTTAAATAAAACAAAGATGATTGCGTAATTAATAAATAAATAAATTCAATAATCCCTAAATAAATCCAATAAAATACAAAATTCAAAAATTATAACGAAAATATACCTATCCTATATTAATAATTAAAAATTAGGTTATGCAAAATGCTATTATAAAAACCATACAGGGTCCAGCGATAGTGCGTCGGACATCTGTAGCTTCTAGAATAAAAAAACTTGAGAATTGGATGTATTTTAGGAAAATATTTTAATTTCTATAGGGTGGGTCAAAAAAGTGTGATTGTATCGGGATGATTTTTACACCTTGAATATTATTGCATTTCTGGCTTCCTTTCAGATCACTTTACATAATCCTAAGATATGATTAGATATATTTCGATAATTTCAGAGATATTAATAAATAAATAAAAAATATAGTTTTTGCAAACTTGTTAAAAAAAATTATTACAAATACAAGAACTGCCCTGAAATCAAAACTATATTAGATACTTACTTTAGATAGTCCATACTTACCATGCTATAAATACCGTAATCTTAAATCATACAGGGTGTTCAAAATTCTACGCCAATCTTCCAAAAATATAAAATAATTTTTCTTTATTTTTTTTAAATGGAACACCCTATATATTATTTTTTTATTAGAAGGAGAGTTAAAAATAAACATTTTTTTGTATTTAAAGTATTTCATAATTAAATTAATTACTGGTTTTGTATATATTAAAATAATTACTGGTTTTGCATAATTTTTTTTGCCAAATTTTTCATAATTTTTACTTTTTTTACACGCAGTATTATTTCATATGGCACTTTCAATGGTAAAATACGAGAGAAAAAACACTGAGTGGCTTTGATAAAACTTTACTGTGGAAAATGTCATATGATTTAAAAAACCGTGAATATCTGCAAAACCGTTAAAAATTTTGAAATCCTCTAAATAAATAAAAAATCATTTTTTTAATTCTCCATCTATTGAAAAAATAATATACAGGGTGTTCCATTTAAAAAAAAAACGAAGAAAATTTATTTTATATTTCAGAAAATTTGGCGTAGAATTTTGAACATTCTGTATGATTTACGGTTACCATATTTATAGCAGCAAAATAAGTACAGGCCATCTAAAAAAGTAAATACCTGACATAGTTTTGATTTCAGGACAGTTCTTGTATTTTTAATATTTTTTTTAAGAAAGGCTGAAAAATTTATATTTTTTATTTATTTATTCATATCTCTGAAAGTATCGAAATATATTTAATAATATCTTAGGATTATGTAAAGAAAAATCCAATAATTATCAGGGTGTTCCATTTAAAAAAAATCATCCTGATCCACTCACACTTTTTTGAGCGGCAATAGCAATAGCAATATTTTCCTGAAATACATCCTTAGGTTTGCACTTAAACAAAATACCCAAGTTTTTATTCTATTACGCACTATTGCCGAACCCTGTATATGCCATAACAAAAACCGTTCCAAACCGCGTTTAATTTTGGTATAGTAACAGAACTATACAAGTCGACACAAGCGTACAAATCCGATCCCGGCGATCCCAATTACCGTTCTAGAACGGTACACATCTCTGGGTTGGAACGAACCTATTATTTTGTTTGGCGCTATACAAAATTCTAATACCTTTCCCATAACTGCCCTTGGGCCTGCCGGGCTTCCCGGTCGGGTATCCCAATCGCTTCTTCCCTATTTTGCTGGCAAAAGGTTTGCCCTTGCCTAAACCCATACTTCTAAAGGAATCGTCCGACGGAATCATATCGAATTCAGACATATCGTCGTATAGAGACTCTTGAGAAGCTGAGAGACTTCCCGGGTCTTCGGTACCTAGATAAAATTATATATTCTCGATAGAAAAAAATTGAAATTTGCTAAATATTGTATAATTTACTTGGTCTTTTGCTGGTGATCTGTCTGCCAGACATCGGATACTGTTGAGGCATCGTGTAATTCTTACATATGGAACAAACATATTCATATTCTGGGTTACTGTCTTTCTTTTGTTGGTAAGAAGCTAAATCTGCATCAGGATCGCATGTTCCATGGACAAACCTAAATTTTTGTTAGTAAGTGTAATAAAGTAATTTTTTAATTTAGATTATTTGTTAGATATGAATAAAACCTCAATTAATTACTTTTTATACTTATGTTTATTTGCATATTACAGAATGTAATAACTATTATCTACAACCGTTTAGTTATAACGTTTTTACATCACAATTTATTTAGTATTTCAGTTACGTTATGAGATTCATAACACAACTAGTGGTGTTATGAATCTATAACACAACTAGTTTTTGTAATAATGAAAAACAACTATAGTAAACGCCACGAATGTTTGGAAGTGATTCATCGGTCGCTACCTTTGAATAAGAAGACTAAGGAAGGAGCATAATGCTATCCATGTATTCATGCATGGTGGGCGGAGAAAGCACCATAAAAGCACTCTAGGGTGGGGATCCTTGACAGTTCTGTTTGACGATTCATTTGACACATTTGAATTTGATTTGAAATTTTGTGGATTTGTCAGTCTTTACGGAGCTTATTTTATGTTATTTATTATTTATTCTACTACTGATAGTTGTATAAAGATAGTAAATCTAGATGGAAATAGTGGCAAAACTTAAATTAACAGTGACCCTATCGCGATTTATCGAAAAAGATTCTAAAATAGTTGGTTGTGTAGCGTGCGGTAGATCTCGGCAAAAATTGAGTGAAATAATGGAACAACTTTTCGCTAGTAAGTGACGATATAATATACATACGTGTAGTAAACCGATCATTTATGAAATTCACTTAAATTATCTAAATTATATATTTTTTTTGCATTTTAGCTTTTATTTATTACTTGTCAATGATTAGATGTCAAAGAATTTAGATACGTTAATTTGACTTACCTGCTTCAGTAGCGTATCGGATGTTTGTGTTAATAAATACTTATTATAACTTATCTATTTTTATTAGAATTATATATTTTTATAACAATTTTAATAACTACCAACATTTATTCACAACGTAAAATAAAACAACAAATTATTGAGTCTACCCCACGTCTACCCTACATCATAGTTTTACATTTTTTAAATAAAATTAGAACGACACTGATAAACCGGAATTTAAGTTGGCCATATTTGAGGCCCATCGCGGTGTACCTAAGATTTTTGATATGCTCCTTCCTTAGTCTTCTTATTCAAAGGTCGCTACCATGTGAACTGATCTGTTCAAGGTCACATAAAACTTAATTCCAGTGCCGTGTAAACAAATAATTATTTGAGACCCTGCCTTTTTTAATAAATTATGCAATAGTACCTCCTGGAATGATGTAACAGGGAGCAAAGGGCCATCGTTGTCGCGTTCCCGCAAGAAATAAGCAACCAACCGCATAATTAATTCTTTCTGCACTTCATTTAGTCGTTTGCCGGGCATTTTCGGTAAAATTTCAACTACAAACAAAAGCACCAAGGGGTAAGACCATCTTACACACTAAATGTATCTGTTAATTTACCCCTTAGCTCAAATCTCGTACTTACCGATGGTTTCACTAACAAAACAGTTTAAAAATATCCAAATTTATACTAACAAAAAAATAAAGTAATCAATAATATGGAGCATTCCAGCAAACTGTCAAAGTCTTGTCAGAACATATATTTGGTTATAAATATAAACTGGAATGCCCCATTGGTCGCACTGCAAGACCACCAATGGACTGAGGCACCAAAAAGACTCAATCAAAGAAACGCGATATAGTATCGTCTTTGCCAATCACGCTAACATTTTAGAATAAGTAGGAGGAGCGCAGGCAGATGATTAGACCGGGCCTTTAAAACCTACGTCTGCGGTAAAAATTTACGTCATCAAGCGATGAATCACTCCCAAACATTCGTGGCGTTTACTATACGAACATCTAAATGTATTAACTTTTCCGGCAATAATGATTCCGTGGCACGTACTGCGGCAACTTCTACATCTGAAGGGAGACTTTCGGAATCGCTCATCGTAATTTTTAAAATGATTTTTCTGGGCAAAAAGTGCTCGCGTTTACTTGACAGGGCAAACTGACTTTTCAGAAAAAAATGTGACAAATGTCATAGATAAAGGTGTTAAAGGTGGGCGACTAACGAAAATTAAAACAGCATTTTCTTATTTTTCGGTTGTAGATAAAACGTTGTACATGACACGTGCGTTTAAACATGATTACAACACTCGTGTGATTAAAACGACTCTCTACGACCTCGTCGTTCTAATCGTTCACACTCGTAATCATGTTCATAAACACATTTATACTGTAAATAACTATTATACTATTAGTTAATAATAGCAAAAAATACACAAATCAACAACAAAACGCCACACTATTTTTTTAGACTCTGAAAGCGTAGATTTATTTAACTATATTAGAAATATCAGCAAATATCCAACACATGATTATAATCTTGTAATAAAACGGTTTAAGAAGAAGCATGTCAACAAGCTTAGGTCAAAGTAATCGGGCATTAATATGGCTGACTTAAATTCCGTTTTATCAATGCCGTTCTAAGTTTATTTAAAAACTATTATTCAAAAATAAGCTTATTATTTTTAATCTTATTTATTTAAAAATAAGCTACTTAATTACTTTTCACAAAAGAACCTTTTAGCTGAATATAGGTATGCCTGTGTATTTTTCATATTTAATTGTGTATAATTGTTTGTTTTTTTAATATCTTTCTTGGTTTGCTGTTTATGTTTGTAATAATTTTAAATTGTTTGTTTTAATAATTTTTATAGTCTAAGTAGGGTTTTTTTCCTCTGTATTTCAGCCTTGACAAAAACAAAAATACACGTCAAAATGTCCACAATTTTTTAAATAAAAAGTTTTATTTCCTGGTTCTAAATCTGCAAACGCCCTCTCAAGTAAAAATAATACTAGAATCATATCTTAGTCTTTTTATTCAAAGGTCCAGAGTTTTGAAATGTCTTGGTATATTATGATTGATTTGCATATAATTTGCGATAAATTTTAGCAAAATAAATAAATGTAACTTACTTCCGACAGTGGCTACACTGAACCATTTCCCTATGAGCATGAGATCTATATGCACGCTGACAGATAGGACAACAGCAACCCTTGTTTCTTTGTTGGTAACAAGAATCACAAACAGTGTAGTGCAAGTGCCAGCGAGAGGACAAACCAGCTCCCGGTGTTCTAGACCCGCAGTCACCGCAAACTCGACAACACTAAAATAATACAATGTCAATCAATACCTATAGACGTAAAGTTATAATTACCAGAGATGGGCAAAAAGATTCTTTTCAATTTAGACAACCAATATTACTATAGCTGCGGTTATGATTTTGCTAACTAAGACCGTGATTTAATTAACCTTCTATCTGTGAGTTTGAATTTTTAGGAATTGCGATTTGCAATTTTGTTGCGAATGTAATTTTGTTGCGAATGTGTAGGAATTTTGTGGATTATTGAAGTATTTTGTAGTAAACTGCAATTGAATTTTCTCTGATATAATTTATTTATAGAGAAGGTATTATTTTCTAGGTCCAAGATTAATAATATACCAGGTGTTTCTCAAACGTGGTCCACTTCTATAACTTTTTAATTTTTTTCTGACAAAAAAAAACGAGAGTTGGTATGTTAATATATGACATAAATTAGGATCCCATTCCTTTCAATTACTTCCTGTTTCACCGGAAATTAGTACAACTTTTGAGTTTTAAATGACACTATTATTTTTTTACTTTATTACGAATAATTTGGTACCACACACTAGGTATGGTCTCTCTAGTCAAATTGTCGTTATGAACCGCCTGTTACAATTTCCAATTAAACCATATGTGAAAATGTGAAAAGTCAATTATGATATGTCATTTTATTCAGAGTATTATGTTCTATCAAATAAAGTAAATAAAACCGAGTGTGTCATTAAAAAATCGAAAGCTGTAGTTATTTACGGTGAAACAGGATTGAATACAAATCAATTGAATATATGAATCAATCCTGATTTATGTCAGTACCAAATCCCGTTTTTTATCTGAAAAAAATTAAAAAGTTGGGGTGAGCCACCTTAAAATTTTAGATTTTTTAGGAATTTGTAGTTGCAACAGTTGCAGCATATACATATAAAGTTTTAATACCTATAATATATGTTGCAAATATTAAAAAAAAAGCTTAAAAACTAGACCACTGATTATTATTAACTGTTTTTATCTGTTAAGCTATAGGTATATACATACCCAGCCAATTATTTACCTAGTACAATATTTAAATATTAAAATCACAATCGCAGGTTAAAGTCGCAGCGATTTAAAAATCGCATTCGTAGTTTCAATTGCGATTGGAGAATCGCAGTTTTGCTCATCTCTAATTATTATACTAATTGCATCAAAAGGCAAATATGTAGTAAATTTTGTATTAGTATATTTTTGATGAGGGAGTAACTGTGATTTTACTGAAGCGGCACCAATGTTGGTTTGGCAACAGTTATTTCTTTGCCTTGAATAATAAAAATGAAGAACGAAAAACACTTTTTGTCATCAAATTGGAATGCAGAGCAAATCGAAATACTTGTTGAAACATCTAAAGCTTCATTCAGAACCTCGCAATTAGTGGAATAAATTAGTGGTTTCAATTACACTTTATACTTTTTAGTTTATGATCACTCACAATGTCTAGAAAACACAATTAAAATTAATAGAACATGCTAGCAACAGCTTGAGGTAATCAGTTGTATTCAAAGAGAAAACCTAATATTTAGCTTATAAAACCATAAACTTTTGATTTCTAACCACATTTTCTCTTGACGGATGATAATCAAAGGCGAAAATGACATTCCTCGCAAATTTTGAAGTATAATTAGTAGAAAAGTTAAATATTTAGTCACTTTTTCCACTAAGTGAAAATCCCTCCCACTAATTTTAACGTTCTGAATGCTTACATTCAAATTAGAGGAACAAACTTCTACAGTAATTGAAACCACTAATTTATTCTTCTAATTGCGAGGGCATGATTTAGAGAGATACATCTGTGGCTTGTGCATGCTGAAAGTTCATAAGAAAAGAGAAAAAGAGAGCACTAAATTTACAGATAAAGTGATAAACAAATTTGTAAAACACAATAAACGCCTTAACTTTTTATTCAAACAGTAAGTTAATATGTTTGCTTCATCCACGTTACCGTAGATGGAGCTGAAGGTTTGGTAGGGTATATATAAACAAACAAAATACAAGAAGCGGAAAAAAGGGGCCAAAAAAGTAAGTTAATAAACCAATTTTTCTAAGTTATTTTTCGGGGAACTTTTTGTTCAAACAGGAGGTGCAAGTGCACCCCTTGAATCCGTTGGTAAGTATAAACATCATTTTAAAACTTACCTTGCATTTCCACCCGTATTTTGGTATAGATGTTACAATTGGTCTTTGGCAGCTAGCATGGTAAACTTTATCACATTGCTCGCAGGTCATTAATTTGCTTTCGTCGCCCATTATGCGACAAATCTGACAAATGCGGCATTTACGACATTGCCACCCTGCCCTAACCCCTAAAAATAAAGATCTGAATTTTTAGTACAAATTACATTATTTGTACGTGATTTTTACAAAGTGTACATTTTACAAATTGAATTAATATCTGCATTCAGTTCAGCGTAATAGCGTAAAAGCTGAATATATTATTGAATTATAAAAATTAATTTATACTAGGTGTACCAAAAAGTTCGCAATAAATAGGAACATTTTTTATTGAGTTCAGACAAAGCAAAACTGAAAAAAATAATTATTAAAGCAGTCATTTTATTTTTGTTAATTCTATTAGTTACTAGGAACGATGTCGTCGCAATGACTGACGTAACGTACGCCAACTCCTCTTTTGCACATAGTCTGTCGAACGAAAGGCTACACGATAGTGACAGTTGCGTCAGTCAATTTAATGCACACGGAAATTGTATTTACTATCAGTATTGGACGTCATCTGTCGGTATATCCCCTGACTCACTGAGCAAACTTTATGGATAGAGGATTTTTGTAGTGTTGCGTCAGTTATCATATGAATTTTTTTTTTCATATTGGGTAGATCTGTTGCAACTTTCAGGCACACCCTTATATTATAATAATTATTATACAGGGTGGTCCGAACTGTATTCCGGAAACTTCGGCAGCATATTCTGCAGATAAAAATAAGTAAAAAAGTTTGTATAAATGTATGTCCTAAAATGCTTAGTTTCGTACATAGAGGGTGTAGAAGTTTCATTTTTATTTCGATTTTTTCCAAATAATTTATGAAGTAACATCAATATTTGAATGAAAATTGTTGTCTGGGAGTTTTTTGATATGAGAAATTTGATTTTGATGTCAATAAGAGTCCTACTTGTAGAGGGCGCCACCTACATATTTTTTAACTGGATTGAAGAGTAATAACTTTTCGTCCGTACCAGTATAAAACTACCGAGTAAAAAAATACACATTAACGACATTTTCTACGTGAAAACGGTATCTTGATAAAAATCGTTACGAGTAATGGTTCTCGAGATATTTGGAATTTAAAGTCTCAATACCTATCATCATTGACATAAATTAAACATGTTGACTAAATAGTTATTAGACTGAAATCATAAATTTGAAATGTTTTTGTACCAAAGGTCAACAGAAACTAATTTATCATCATTTTTTCGCAGAAAAATTTGTGATTAATTTAAAAAAAAATTTCCCAAATTTATTATTTCAGTCAATTAACTAACGTTTATTATTTCATTCTAAATATCATGAGAACGGTTGCTCGTAGCGAATTTTACCAAGAGACATTTTTTATGTGAAAAATATCGTAAATGTATATTTTTTTACTCGTCAGAATTAATACAGGTACGGACGAAGAGTTATTTCTCTTCAAAACAGTTAAAGCACATGTAGGTGGCGCCCCCTACAAATAGGAGCCATATTGACATTAAAATTAAATTTCTCATGCCAGAAAACTCCCATGCACCAATTTTTATCTAAATATTGATGTTACTTCATAAATTATTTGGAAAAAATCTCGAAATAAATGAGCTTCACCCTGTATCCCTCGAAACTAACATTTTTAGGGTACTCATTATAGGAATTTTACTATTTTACCAAATATGATACCGAGATTTCGAATACAGTTCAGTTATATATGCTTTAATTATTAATATTATAGTTATATCCGTATTAAAATACACCAATTTTCATTATTACTATTTCAAACATTTTAAATGATAAAACATTATTTTCAATTGTATTAGTCCATTTTTTTGGAAAAGTTATAAAATTTATTTTATATTTTTATTTTATTTAATTTTATTATAAAGGTTTATTATTTTTAACCTTAATATACATGTAGGTTGAAAAAATAGTTAAAATAATCATTACCTGGTAACTGAGCTAAACCAACACAGCTTCCATGATAATGTGCGCCACAACTTGAACAGAACATTAAGTTTGAGATATCGCCAACGTTTTTACAGGTGTAGCACACTGATACTAAAAAATACAACACATAACAATCAAATCAATTCAGATAAATATAATATTCTCGCTTAGCGATCAGAGATACCAAAAATAGTTGAACAAGAGTTTTGTCATTGCTATACCCGGTGGTGCACCGTCGTTGAAAACAGGAAATTCCATGCAGATTTTGAACTGCCCAAATATTGGCTCCCCTATTTATTTTACAGCTAAGTCGTAAATAGGTTTTTCAAAAACTGTTTATTAAAATATTTTATCATTGTCAAATGTAATTTGTTGTGCTGTACCTACACTGCTACGTTATTGTACCTACGATTAGTGTCCTCGAAATATTATTTTGTAATTTAAAACCAGTTCAAATGAGGCAAAAGTTTAACGATTAGAAGACACAATTTGACATTGACAAAATTATAGGATGACAACTTAAAGCATTTGCTTGGTTTTGCATTGTTACCTATTCAGTTTTAATTTATATAATATAAATAAATGCAATAGTACAGTAGAACCCCGATTATCCGAGTCGGAATTATCCGAGCTCCGGATTAACCGATCTAATCTAAAGACCCTGATTATCCGAGGTCGCGCGTCTATGCTCTGTATTAACCGAGCTTCTAAAATATGCTATATGTATATTTACATATTTCCGTTTAACATCGTTGGGACCGACAGGGAATCCCCTTGGCCCGTGTGAGTGGTTCCCCTTATTTATATTTTTGGACTCTTATAGCTTAAATTTGAGTGAATGCAGTTCGTTATTGCGTTCACTACGGAGAAGTAGCATACGTATGTACTCATGATTTATCTGGGTGGAGTTCTAGTTAAGTGTATACCAACTGCTTTGTTTAAATTTTCGTTTGCCATTATTATAATGGAACAGAAACAAACGTAAAAAGAATTGTCGTTCTATGAAGAAAAATTAAAGCCATTAGGAGGTATTCAAGCAGGAGAGCCAATTAAAATTGTTGCACGAGATTATGGAGTAGGTGAGGTAACAGTTGGAGATTGGAACAGAAACAGCACTAAAATAGAAGAATGGTGTATAAAACAAACCTCTTCGTCTTCAAGAAGAAAATCAATGAAAAAAGGCGACTATGAAAAAGTTAACGAAGCTTTATTTACGTGGTTTACTCAGCAAAGATCAAAAAGTGTGCCTCTGTCAGGTCCCATTTTGCAGCAGAAAGCAATAATGATTAGTAAACAAACGATGCGATTGTACGACAACTGACTATATATATGGAGAAAAACTTTCTGCTGATGTGTCATCAATTGAAAAATTTAAACAGGACTTTAAAAAGCTAATCAAATATTGTGGGTATACATGTGATCAAATTTATAACTGTGACGAAAGTGGTTTGAATTATAAAATGCTTCCATCAAAAACATTGGCATCTCGACAGGAAAAATCAGCTCCTGGGCACAAAAGAAGTAAGGAAAGATTAACCATAATGGCATGTTCCAATGCATCTGGTAATCACAAAATTCCACTTATGGGGATTGACAAGTCTGCACATCCAAGAGCGTTAAAAGACATCTCACCCAAAGCCCTACCAGTTTATTACAAAAGTCAGAAGAGCGCATGGATGGATGCGACGTTATTTACTAACTGGTTTAAAGAAGAGTTCGTGCCATCTGTGACTAAATTTTTGAAGAGAACTAGCCTCCCTATTAAAGCAATTTTGGTAATGGACAATGCTCCCTCTCACCCTGGAGAAGGACTCCACGCGGGCGAAATTGTAAAATTTTTCAAATGTAACCAGTATAATGCAACCAATGAATCAGGGCGTCCTCGAAAAGATAAAAAAATATAGGCGTTTATATCTTGAACATCTACTAGAATGCACAGAAAAAAAGAGGATATTATCACTGGGATAAGAAAAGATTACACTAAAAATGTTATTTACTGTAAGCCAAGCTTAAGTTGTGCAGTTCCACTATTCAAAAATCTTGGTCGAAAGTTATTGATATTGAGGACTATAATGACAGTGAAGATGATATTCCATTAAATGAATTGGCTTTGAAATGGAAAAGCCGTGGAGAAATGTCCTGTACAAATTTAAACGAGACAGGAGAAGAAGAAAGTTTATTAGAATTAATGCAAAACTTGAAAGGTTGCGAAAATGTGACAAGACAAGACGTTGATGAATGGGTTACAGCAGATGATTTAGATTAGAAGAATATTGAAGAAATAGCGAATGCCTTTCGCGAAACCTAAAATTCAGATGACGATAACTATGACGAAGAGGTGGATGAACAGCCTTCCACTAAGATTACCCATCAAGGTTTTGCTTCTCTGGAAACAGCTCTGAGGTATATCAACAACAGAACAACAATCAGAGGCAACCCCAACGGATTTGCTTCTTCTTAACAGAAGGAGAAACATGGCAGCGAGAAAAAGAAGATGCAATATGAAACAGCAGCGCATAGATGCTTATTTCACTGTTTTATAATGTAGATTGTATCTACATATGTAGGTGCTTATGTATTTACATGTTAATAAACCGTTTAAAGTATGTATTGGTGCTTATTTTTTAATAAATCGGAATATCGAGTTTTCCAGTTATCCGAGGAGGGTGTCCCCCCGTTACCTCGGATAACCGGGGTTTTACTATTACTTAAAAATCGGCTTTGTTCAAATTTGGCATATTTATTCAGCATGCACATATCTTTTAAAACCCTATTTACAACTTGTTGCTGTAAAATTAACACGGGAGGCAATATCTGGACAGTTCAAATTTCATGCCATTTCCTATGTTCCAACGATGATGCACCACCCGGTATAGTAACACATTTAAATAAACAAATTAATCCATAATAAATCATTCTACCTAAACAAAAATAAAAGCTAAAAATTTCATTAAACTTAAAACAGCAAAATAAAACACTAAATCACCACAATACCAAAACACTTTTACTTTTACACTGGACGCGCTGTTCGCTAACCATGTTAGCATCATCAGCAGATGATTATAAACTAAAAATACAATCTACAATTGGAGCGTTTATATACTCGCTCAGTGGGCATAGAGTGGGCGTGGCAAGATTTAGCCAACCGAGTCAGAACCCACCGAGCGTAACAGTTAGATTTCCGCCACTAGGGTAGTAGAACAGAGAACTCGAAGGAATTGGACCGTTGTCTCTGTTCATACTATCTTTACATTTATTAATTCTGATGCTTTCATATGCATCTAATTGCCTGTAATTTGAGACTTTTTTTAAGTAATTTTAAGTTATTAAGATCTATACAATGTTCTTTATCAACAATATGTTCGGCAACGCAAGATTTATCAGGTCTATCATATCTTATTTGTGCTAAATGTTCTTTAAATCTAGTTAATATTGATCTTCTAGTTTGCCCAACATATTTCTGATTACAATCTTTACAAGAAATTTCATAAATACCCGACCTTTCCAGTAGAGGTGTTTATCCTTTGGATTACCCTAATAATTGTATAATTTATTATTAAACTTATTAAAACTGATTTTAACTGAGTTAAAAAATAATATTAGATAGTTAACAAAATTAAAAATATAACATTGCATGAAGGTGAAATTTTGGTCTCCTTTGATGTATCTTCGTTGTTCCCAAGTGTTCCAATTCCACATGTACTTTAGGCTACTTGAAGGAATTACTGAACGCAAATGGTCTCGACAACAAAACTGTGATTGAATATATTGAGCTTACATCATTATGCTTATGAAACAAAATTGTTTTCAATTTAATAACAACTTTTTGAACAGCAGGAAGGGTACAGCAATGGTAATCCATTGTCTCCATTTTGGCTAATTTATTCATGAGCAGGGTTGAAGTGGAGGCTAAGAATCAGTTTAGTATTTTCAAGAGTATGGTTTAGGTATGTGGATGATATTTTTGCTGTTTATGACACACATTCAGACACCATAGATAATTTTTATTTCTAAGTTAAATATCGTTTTCCTTCCATTAAATTTACACATGAAATTGAGAACAACAACAGATTACCATTTCTAGATGTATTATTATAAATAATATATTTTTTTTTTCCTATAAATATTCCAGGCAATTATTAGAAATACTAATAATTGCCTGGAGTTTGATATCTATGGGAAAAATACCAGTACACGCAGATATATTCCTAATGAATCATCATAGTATTGAACATAAAATGGCTAATTTAATTCTTAGTTCATAGATTACTTAGTTTTCCACTTTCCAAAGAAAGATATGAAATAGAAAAGAAATTACATTAGGAATGTATAGCTGAGTGTAATGGATATTCTCCTTCACCTAGTTGATAAAATAATTAGAAACGTAGTGGGTTAATATTTGCCAAATTCAGCTTTTCAAGTGGAGAAAGATACGTCAAAATATTTTCCAATACCGTTTGATAGACAGTTATCCGGTGGTCACGAAAGGAATTTTAAGAATGTCAGTATAAACTTTTGTATAGTGCTAATAATAAATTACAATTGTTAGGTAATCAAAGGATAAAACACCTCTGCTGGAAAGGTCGGGTATTTATGAAATTTCTTGTAAAGATTGTAATCAGAAATATGTTGGGCAAACTAGAAGATCAATATTAGCTAGATTTAAAGAACATTTAAGCTCAAATAAGATATGGTAGACCTGATAAATCTTGCGTTGCCGAACATATTGTTGATAAAGAACATTGTATAGATCTTAATAACTTAAAATTACTTAAACAAGTCTCAAATTACAATTAGATGCATATGAAGCATCAGGGGTAATAAATGTAAAAATGGTATGAACAGAGACAACGATCCAATTCCTTCAATTTCTTTGTTCCTTCTATTCTAGTGGCGGAAGCTAACTGTTACACTCGGTGGGTTCTGACTCGGTTGGCTAGATCTTGCCACGCTTACTCTGTGCCCACTGAGCAAGTATAAGCAGCCTCCAATTGTTTGTAGATTGTATTTTAGTTTAATCATCTGCTTTGATGATGCTAACATAGTTAGCGAGCATCCAGTGTAAAGTAAAAGTGTTTTGGTGTATTGTGATTGTGTTTTATTTTGCTGTGTAACACAAAGGTTCCAACCCTCAAGTGTAAACTTACATAAAACAAAATTTAGAACTGAACAAAAACTTAACAACGAGCTTAATTGCACGAATTCGTATGAAAATTAATAATTTCCTAATGCCCAATGCACAAACCAAAATCAAAACTTAAATTTCAATTAAAGTTGGTATCGCAACAATACAACTTTTTAATACACAATAGGCCCTAAATATAGTTTCTTACAATTATTCTTAAAAATCAAGTAAACGTTGATCAGAGGCTTAAAGTCTATTAAGTTAATAAAGAGTGTCTTTAATAGACTAAAGATAAACACTAAAACCGCGCTATAAATATCTACCTGTAGTTAAACTTACCTTCACCACGCATAGCTGCGTCACCAAGATGGTTACTACAGTAAACAGATAAAGAACTTTGTTCTTGTAAGGCACCAGAGGCTGTGGCACAAGGAAAATGATAGAATTTGGAGCAACCTTCATTTTTGCAGGTAAGACTAGCACCATAATGATTGCAGAAAGAGCATTTCTTCGACGAACTTTGTATTTAACTGACATTTTCCAAGCTGATGTTCTATAAAAAATTTTGGTCAGAATTGCATCACATATTAATGACGTCACGTGGAAAAACTATTTATTTGCCAGACAATAATTGTAAAAAAAATACATTACATTTTTTCCCTGTGTTTTAAAAGTATTATATGCCAATTTATAAATAATTATAATCTATAGAAAATAAAAAATATGAAATGTTTTTTTTTTTTTTATATAAGTTATTTTTTAAATAGGGTGAGATAGAAGACCTACCTGTTCTACTAACTCCATTGGACCAAAGTGCACAGTTCCTATGAACATAAAATTGACCCGTTGATTCATACAAAACGCTAATGCTGGGCTGATCCAAATGACCGATAATAGTCAACTCATCGATATGCTCATTATTTGATGATACACTGCGCGCTTTGCTGAAATTTTTCAACCGTCTGTAAAAAAATTAATTGGATTGTAAAAAAATGTTGTATTCCTCATAGTAAATCGACAGAGAGTCGTCATATTTTCTTTCTTTGGATACACGTTGCTGATAGTGTTGCTTTTTAATATTTTGCAAAAATTTTTTTTTTTTCATAAATTAAATATACCGACCTGGTCATTTGATTACTGTGTATAGGATTTTAACGTGTAATACAGAGAATAATATAAATGACAGGTTGACAGACAGAGAGACAGCATCAAAAGGGGCCGGCGTGGAGCCGGTGCGACCGATAGTGTTGCCGGTTTTTTACGGGTGTGGGCAAGGTAAAGCATAAGCATGGTTGGAGAACGCATTGAGAGGGGCGGTGCTTTATGTTAAGTTTCGTATTCACTATCCGAAAGAACAAAGGAATGAAATTCAGTATATTTGGACAGCAAACCGAGTGCATGCGGCCGTTCGCCATTCGGTTCCCTCCATTATCCGTTTTCAGTCGGTATATCAGAGACGTTCACAAACGAATGAAAATTATAGAACCGCGCGAACAAGACTGGACGTTCGCTCGTTGGATAGTAGCATTCGTTCGTTCGTTCGTTTAATGAATACGCACCTTTATGTAGATGAAAGGGTGGGGAGAGGAAATAGATCACCTGAGATCCAACTATTTTTGCATCATTCTTTTCACTTAGCTGTTTCGGTATGTACGTTAAGTGTTTCAAAAATGGCTATTTATACGACCGAAGAAAAGGTGCATATCGTTAAATGGTTTTACATTTCCTCAAGTGTGGAAGAGGTCATTGGGCGTTTTGTGTTCACTTTTCAAGATCGCCCTGTGCCTTGTGCCAAAGCTGTACGCAACATTGTCCATAAATTTGAGCAAACAGGCTGCATTGCGGCGTGCAGAAATTGTGACAATAAGGAAGGCGCAGAGAAGGTGATTCCCGACAAGGGAATTAATATTTGTGCCGCGGTCGAATCAAGCGAACCTTGTTCAAGCCGAAATATAGCCGAACAAGTTGTTTGCAATGCTCGAACGGTGGGCAGGGTTTTAAAAAAGCATGGATATAAGTTCTACAAAATCAGTACCACACCGAAATTTTTTCCGCAGATTGTAACAGACGTCTGGAGGTTTGCGAGGCTGTAAGAGAAGGAGCCGATCGGAATAATTTATTTTAGAAATATATTGTTATTCTCTTAAGCTCGTTTTCCTTACATGGCTACCACAATCCTTCGATAGTACGTTATTGGTCTCGAGAAAATAAGCACTTTAGTATGGCACTGCGGACACAATATCCACAAAAACTAAATGTTTGGGCTGGCATGCTGCAAAATCTTATCATTGGGCCTTTTTTATTGATGGTATGTTAACAGCTGCCAAATGTTTGGATATGCTACAAAACCAAATTGTACCAGCGGTTCGAAATTTGCCAATCAATTTTGAGGAAGTATGGTTTCAGCAGGATGGCTGTCCTGCGCATAACGCGCAGAACGTAAATCTGTTCCTTCAATCCACATTTCCCAATCGGCTAGTTTCCACACAAGGCACAATTAATTGGCCACCACGTTCTCCTGATTTGTCGCCCAATGACTTCTTTCTGTGGATATGTAAAAAATTCCATTTATGGCCATAACCATGAATGACCCATGAATATTGACGAGCTGCGATTAAAAATCGTTCAGTCGTTAGAAAATATCCCCGCTGTTATGTTAGCTAAAGTTAGGTCAGAGGTTTATAACCGTCTTGGCTATTGCGAAGCACAACAGGGAGGTTTTTTTGAACCTTTGATTTAATTTTTATAATAATTATTTTGCTAGTGTCCTTTTTTAAAGTTGATTTTTAGTCATTTTTTAATGCTTGTTTTAACTTATGCTGAAACAGCAACAAAAACATGAACAGTGTAGATACAACCGGACATTTAATTATTTTATTGTTAAAAGATTAAACGTCTCGAGATATGTATGGATAACCTTCAAAATCATGCTGTCTCTTGTAATGATGTACACCCAACCTTTCAAAATCCGACTGATTTGATAAATATGTCAAAGTATGTCTACCGTTCTAGGACTTCGATACTGTCGGTGTTGCCAGATGAAGTTTTGAAAATTTCCTGAAGCCTGGTTGGCACGGTCAATCTACCAACAAAAATATTCTTTTAAATATTTATCTGATGATACTTTTAGAAATGCCAAGTTTGAGAAAACAAATTAAATACACACACTAAATTGTGTCCAAAAATATGCTTCCTAAAAATGTATTTCCTGGATAGAAACCTTAATGTTAGGGAATATTTCCTAAACCTGGCATCTACGGCCATATTCTTTCCCACCACTTGATTTGTCTTAGCTGATTGGTCTCACCCCGCCTCTCAAAATGTGGAAGCCATGCATATCTCTTCGCACGTGTCGCCACCAAACCAAACCAAACTCTTGAGTCATAGGCGTACTAATATTTTATTTTCATTAGATTTAGTATTACAGCCAATTTTAGTTTAAAGTTTTGCTTATGAATTCTGTAAATTTAATTTATTAGAATTTTAATAATAATCTTTGTGACAGCTGACAATGTTTAAGATGCGAACAATGGAACAACGCCTTCACCACACTGCTTCTTAAGCCCCATACATACCCAATATAAAAAAAAAAAACTCATCGACATGATCAAAAGTTTTATGATCAAGCGGGTTTTGTATCATAAATAAAACAGATAAACAATTTTTATGTAAAACGACTAAAATTAACATTATAAACATTATATAATTAATATTTAAAAAAAAAAAAAAAACATTTTCTTTTAATTACTAATTGTGCTACACTTTAAGGGGTGTGAAATAATTACTTATTTATAATAATACTGAATTTATGCGGGGTGGTATAACTAGTGTTATAACGGTTGTAGATATAGTATTACGGGCAACCAACGGTCCTTCCGATCAGCCACCGGTTCCCGATAGAACACCGAAGTTAAGCGACGTATGGCGATACTAGTGGATGGACAGGTGACCAGTTCGAAACTCTGTATCGTACTGTTATCCAATAAAGGCAAAAGTGTAAAATATATTGACACACACTGCCCATTCACGCCGGTTCGAGGCTACTCACGAGATCAGATATCTCGTGAGTAAAAGTCGATTCAGACCTTCCTCGGTCATTGACCGAGGACCGCCGTTCGGATTCCTGTTAACGTTAACTAATCTTTTACTTTACTTTATAGTATTACATTATAACTTTATCATGTCATAATATTATGAAATAATATTTTTTTTATTGTCAATTTTTTAATATTGGTACAGCAAACTTATCAGTATAAAGTTTTACTTATCTTTATCCTTTTATTGCTATTTATAATTCTGAATACGAGGATAAGAAATTTTTAGTTTTCAGTACGCCTATGACCGAAAGCGAACGTCTACCTCCCGCTTCATCAGCGGCCATAATTGGATGGAATCAGGTATGAGTAAATATAAAGGACCTAAAATTAATAAATTTGCTCGTCTGCTGCAAAACGTAAGAAATATTTATTGATGGATCAGTATGACAGAGAAGTAATAAAAAGGCCGTTTTATGAATAACAAAATGGTATTTGAACATCATATTATAATCATATTTAATTGACAATAGATTAATTTATCAGCTATCCGCAGAAAATTGACAATAATAATAAAACATGACACATGGCAGTTAATATAATTCCAAATTAAAATCGATAAGAGTTCTCATTAATAATAGTAATATAGATATATTTCAAAGAACTGCTTAAAATTAACTTTTTTAATTTTGTACTAGTTTATAACACTTGGTGGTATAACTTAACAAATAATATCAATCATTAATAAAAGCATAAACGAACCAATAAATAGACAAAAAGGTTAATTTATTTAATAAAACGTACAACGTACGGCTTTGTATGCCGATTTTCGTGTGTATGAAGAATAAAGTCAACGTTTGTTCAGTACAATACGATATACTGAAAGAGAAAAGACTATAAAATACGAGAGAAAAAATAGAAGTTTATTACCTATCCACTTAATCCGGATCGGTCGACAATAGTATTTGTGATATTTACAACATTATGTAATTAATTGATTATCAGTCCTATTATGTAACTGAGGATGTACGTAACTACGTAATAGAGCATATTTTTTGGTTAGTTTATTTAATGAAGCGTACACACGGCTTTGGTTGCTGATTCTCATGTGTCAACGTGTTCAGTACAATACGATATATTGAGAGAGATGCTGATGCTCTATTACGTAGACACGTATATCCCTAGTTGCATAATATGACAGATAATCTATTAATTCCAAAACGTACTAAAAGCGCAAATTCTGTTGTCGAACAATGTAATCAGTATGATTATAGATTAAATAATTATGGAGGTGCATATGAAACATTAAACGATTCATCATTGTGTTAAGTTATACCACGTAATTTAACACAAAGATCAATCATTTAATGTCTCACTTCACACTTGCTCACTCCATTATTATTTAATACTGGTTAGAATGGTCGACAATAGAACTTGCACTATTTACTACGTAATACAGCATATTTTTTAGTTAGTTTATTTAA